CTACTCTTAATTTCTTAGCTCTAATTTTATTTATAGTCTTTCTACTTACGTATTAGAGTTACTTTATATATAGTAAATAATCTTTCTTATATTTCTAACTAGTAAAAAGAATATATATTACCTACTAGTTATAGAGTAGTAAATAGTAATATAATAGGTAGATAAAGATAATACTACTAATAATTCTATAATAGTTTTATAGTAGTAGCTTAACTATAAAGTTTACCTACTAGAGTATACTAAGCTAGAATATAGCTTATAGAATAAGAAAGCTAAGTATATAGTAAAAGAGCGTAAATATAAAAGAAGCGCTAAGAAGCTTAAGGCGCTAATCTCTTATATATAGAATAGATAGGTACTATTAATATATAATATAAGCTCTAGACTTAGTAATTATCTTATTATTATTTATGTTATTTATAGCTTTAAAAGTATTTAGCTCTATAGTATAGTTTAGGTACTTTATAGTAAGTATAGGTTTTAATAAAAATAGTAATAAGGTAGATTATTTTAAGAGTAACTACTTTAGTAATATATATAAGGTAGGTATCTAGGTAGTTATAACTTATAGGTACTTTTAGTAAATAAAAAGGTTACTTCTTTATAACTATAGTAACTATATATTATTATTTTATAAGTGTAAGTATAAGAGTAAGACTTCTAAGATTTAGAAGATACCTTTATATTAGTAAAACCTAAGGTAAGACTTTAATATATCTTAGTAGAATATTATAAACTATCTAGGTAGAGATAGATACTTTATTAATATTATCTTTAACTTAGGTAACGTAAAACTTTTATATATTATCTTTAATTTAGAAGAGACTAAAAAATTAATATAAAATATTTAAGCTAATAAACTACGTATATAGTATATCTATATACCTATAGAATTATACTTTCTATTTTAGCGCTTATAAAGATAGCTATAGTAAAATATAATAAATAGCGTATTACTTTAGAAGAGCTTAAGTAGTTTTTTAGTAATAATAAAGTACGTAACTTACTATAGTTACTAGGTTAATTATTAACTATTATAGCGCGTTCTTACTATATATAAAATTTCTCTAGAGAAGCTTAGTAAATATTTAAAGAGAGAGTTAATAGCTCTATACTAGTACCTTATAAGTTTTATAAACACGTAGTAACTAAAATCTAAGAAGTATAAGATAGAAGATAGTAGTAGTAGTAGAAGTAGAGGTTAGAGTAGCTAAAAGTCTAGAGATTAAAAAAGCACGCTATCTCTCTTTTTAGTAATTCTACGCTATTTATTTCTTTTCTTAATACTATAGTTAGAGAAATATATTAATAACTATAGCTATAGACTAAGTATATTCTTTATATCTTATTATTAAAAGCTTAATAATAGTTTAATATTAGATAGCTTTACACTTACCTTATAGTATAAATATACTAAAGCTCTAGAGTAATATAGTAGTATAATACGCCTAAGAAAGCTTTTTATAATAATTATATAGTATAATCTTATAAAGCTTATAAAACTTAGCTATACTAGAAATTATATTAGCTACTTTATAAAGTAGAATCTAATAGAAATTATTAAGCTAGTATAGCAAAGCTAGTATAGTAAAGAGCTAAGTAGTACCTCTTTAGAAACTATTTTAAAAGAGCTTAAGATATAGTATACTCTTAGTGCTAAGCTTATAGTCTTTATTAACTAGTTTAGTAAAGAATATCTCTTCTACTTTAAGTCTATACTATTTAATAACTTCTTATTAAATTAACTTAAAGCTTCTAAATAAGCTTTTAATAAAGCTATATATTATCTTTATAAAGAGCTAGTATTAGAAGATAAGATTACTAATTCTACTAATATAGAAAAAATATAGCTTACTAAAGCTATTTAAAAGTACTTTATTAAGCTTTTTAAGAACGCAAAAATAGTAAAAGGCATAGTAAGTATTTAAGTAGTTTATAATAATAAATTTTAATTTATCTACGTAAGCTATCTATAACTATTAGTACGTGTAAAGAAACTTAAAATCTGTGCCTATTATTTACTTTAAGGCGTAACTTTTACTCTAAGTAGTAACCTCTAGATTTACTAGTACTTTTAGACGATGCTTATTATAGGCACGCCTTACCGCCTTTGCTCGCCAAGCAAATCCGCTTCCATTGCGGCCCCGTCTTAGAAGATCAAGCAATAGCTTGAAAGCCGGCCATCGTTGTCCGAATGTTCGCTCAAGTTTCCTCGCGCTCAGGGGCGGAGTACGGAGCGGCTGCACTGTGGGTGGTTTTCCGGACGGAAGAGTAATGGGCCGCATCCGATTACTGCCGCAATAGCAATGGCCATATCCTCATCAATCCGCTGCGCTGCCAAGTAGAAAGAGGCAGTGTTGAGGGCACCGAGTACAGTAGCAACGACGGCATTGTAGGAACCGCATTGTCATAAGATGCGGTTACGGCCAACCAGACAGGGTGGCATTTAGGCGAGCAGTCACTTGGATGCTTCCTTCCCTCTACGGGCCAACTGCGCCCCGACGAAATGAGCAATTGACGTCACAATGCTTTGTGCTTACTCCCGGGGCTTGGCCTACTTCGTTGATGCTGCCGCGGTGTTGCTGTGCAGTGGCGCCAGCACCATTTTGTGGTGGTCGCGTGCTCAACGAGGATGGGCACGCGACACAGTTGGAAGATGGGAACGGTGAATACGAGTCGAATAACGATGAGATGGGAGGAAGCCTGTGCCTTTAGCGGGTTGCGCGCCGCTGCGCATGTCCCAAGCCACTAAAGTTGAAAAAGTGGGACTTTGATACGCTGTACGCACGCTTTGATCAAGACGTCTGACCTCCTTTGCCGGCAACCCGGGGGCTTCGCGAACTTGTAGCAAGCACAACCATAGGCCCGCTAAGCATCGAGTGAAGCAGGCGGACTTCTCTCCTCTCCACCTGGTCTGAACCCTTCCCCTCTTTTGTTTCCCGTCACTCCTTTCCCTGCCCAAGTGTGTTGTCAACATACTTTGTGTCCGACGACAACCCTCCGCGCGTACCCGGGGATAAAATAGAGCCGACGATTGCAAACACTGCCGGGCCACCTTGAGCAGCATTATCTACGAGCATCCCGAGCCGGCGCAGGCGACACATCATGGCGAACACGACGTTAGCAGACAATGGCCAATGGAACAGCAAACCAGCGTGGAAGCTGCCGGGATGGTGCGAACCTGTTGTACGTAGCCAAAACCACTCCACAGTATTCGTATACACACAGCAGCATGCTGACAGCGTCACGCACAGATGGTTGCCAGCATCCTGTTCTTCGCCATGTTCATAACACGAAAGCGCGACTTTAAAATCTTCGGCCGGTCATCACAGCGCACCGGCTTCCTCGACAACACCCCGAACGAGTCTACCGACCGCCTCCTCCAGTCCGACAGCGACAGCGAATTCGACGAGATTAGCGCGGTTAAGAACCCCAACGCATCCAAAGTCCGAAGCATCTTCTGCTGGAGGGTTACAACACCCAACACATCGCGTTTCCGCCACCATGTCCACAGTCGCATACTGCAGCGCTTCCCTTTCTTGATTGAGATGTTCTATTGGGTTATCAACTATGCATTCTACCGCATGACTGGCGTCGTATCGGCCAAGCTCTTCGCTGGGCGCGGGATATGGGACGTATCTCAGGAACACGGGATTGCAGTACTGGAAGCGGAGGAGTTTGGCCTCCTGAGATTCCTGTTCCCGGTCCGAGAGAGGGACGTACAACAGTGGTTCATGCATGGACACCAAGATGCGCTTACGGTGCTGAACAAGTGCTATGCGCTGATCCACATCCCTGGAACTGTTGGGTAAGTTTGCTGTGGCCTAAGTTCTTGCATCACCACTGACATTTTCAAGCTTCATCTGCTGGTACTACTACGTAGCCCCGTCGTTTGACACCTTCGCCATCGCCCGCCGAACCCTCACCCTTACCAACTTCTGCGCTTTCATGACCTTTGTTGTATACCCATGCATGCCACCGCGACTTCTACCCAAGGAGTACGGCTTCCTCGACACCGTCCGCCATGACGACGCACAAAGTGTATGGATGAGTGGCAAGTTTGTCAATCAACTCGCAGCGATGCCCTCGATGCATTTTGGCTACGCATTCTGCATTGGCATGACCATGATCTACCACTCGGGTCTCTTCCGCCGCACCTTGGAACAGGGCGAAGTGCGCAAGAACGCCTTCTGGAAGATCTTCTACCTGATTGTTGGAATAGGATACCCCTCTTTCATCCTGACGGTCATTGTTGCCACGGCCAATCATTACTTCATGGACGCCTTGGTGGCTACCTGCTTCGTCTTCTTCTCGTTCCTTTGCAACAAGGTCTTCTACGTCTTCATCCCGCTCGAAGATCTCCTGCTCTACGTTATCCGGGCAGACAAGCCCGTTCCTACAACCGGTGACCGCTTCCACGAGAAGGGTGGCCGGTTATAGTTTTGGCAGCTTGATCTCGGCCTTTGGTTTTGGTTAACTACCACGGTCGCTTACACTTCGTCGCATTTACAGGACATAGCATTACAGGCGGCGTTGGTCAAAGCAGTACACGCATCGCACTTGGTTATCAGACACGCGGCGGTTTACATGTACATATTCTGAATTCATACTCAAACATTATCCTTCGATTCGTCCTTCGGTTGTTACTATAACTGGATGCTGACCAGTCGTACTTGTGGACGCAAGCTAGAACGCGCCAAGGCCGGTTCCTGCGTTAGCGCAAGTGAAAGCTCCCCAGCATTCGCGACGCGTCCGAGCTCCCGGCGTGTGCCAGCCATCATCTCCAACCTCCCCCTCAGCACTCCGTAAGTCAGTCCACCCATCACCAGACGCGATTCGTGCAGGACGCTATAGCGCTTCACTCTATCTACTTTTCGCAAACCATACTGCTTGTCGTGTGCTGACATTCCATTCCGGGACAGCTACTCTTGAGCTTCAGATAGCTTCATTCGCTTTCGCACACCGTCCCTCGTTCTCGCAAACACAGAAACGCAGTCGCCATGGCGGATCTCGAGCAGCAAACCCCGATTGAGGGCACACCCATCGACGACATTGAGATGGAGGGTGCGGGTGATGCTGGAGCTGGCGCAGGTGAGGAGACAACTCTCCTGCCGGAGATTGAGCCCGAAGCACCCAAGCTGGTTCTCTTCGCTGAGTAAGTGATGGCCACGTACATTTTCCGGTTCGCAGGATTGGACAGCTAGCTCGCTTGAGACGAGGTGCTACTATCGGGCGCATGAAGTTTGCCAGCTCTGAAGGGCTGGAGGCAACGCGCGCAGCACCACTCTCAGCTCTATGGGCTATTAGCATATACTTCCTGGCTCTGGAATACTAGTGACACACATCATGAACGCGCGGTTAACATGCGACCAGTCTCATGAAGAGTCCGATCGTTGAAGTCGTCGTTGGCTCAGGAGACAACCGCACCACATACTCAGCACACGAGGCAGTTCTCGTCAAGTCACCAGAGTTCGCCAAACAGGTCGAGAAGTTTGCGCCAGGAGGGGTACGCTATCACGCCATCAGCGAGTAAATATGCGCTCACTAACAGTCTCCAGCCTCGTCAAATCGTCTACACTGATTGCGATGTCGATGCGATGGGCTCAGTCGTCGAATACCTCTACACAGGCGAATACTTCCCCAAGAAGACGTCAGCCGCACGCGATGCGCCCCTCGAGAAAGACCCGCGACAGCCTGTAACCGATAATGACGGCTTGGGTCTCCTCGTCCACGCACGCATCTACACGCTTGCCGACCGTCTCCAACTTCCCGAGCTGAAATCGCTCGCACACTCCAAGATCCACCGCACAGCGTCGACTGCAAAGGGCGAGCTTGCATACGCACGCTACGTATACAAGGAGTCCAACCCGGAAGATGCCACAATCCGCAAGCCCGTCGCTGCCTTCTGGGCTACACGAAGCTACAGCCTACGCCACGACGCGGAGCCAGAGTTCAAGGCCATGTGCCTGGAATTCCCGCAATTCTCGTATGACGTGCTGCAGCTCGTCTTGGACCAGCAGGAGAAGAAGCGTGGTGGTGATGATGGACCAAGCCGAAGTGGACCAACTGTGGTTCCTGGAAGCACGAGGAAGAGGGCTAGGGTGAGTCAGGTGTAGATGCGATATTTAATGTTGCTTCGTGCTTGATTCACCTCGCCGTCCTAGACCACGGCTACATCACCTGCCTTCTCGCTTACCTACCCGAGAGTCCTTCCGAATCTCTTTGCAAATCACCTCGAATGCCAGCTGCGTGTCCCGCGTAGCTGTGGCGATATTCTGTTTTCAGATCTGCAGGTTGTTTCTCCTGCTTACACCGATTCCTTTTGTCACATACACACCCATGATCTTAGTCACATTTACCATCGAGGACCAGCAGCGAACTGATATTCCATAATGTCAAAAATCTTGTTTGTTGTAAGGTTGTGGTAGCGCTGGCTGGGACGGAAAGTTTTCGAATGTAGTACCATGTACAGTAGCCGAGATAGGTATTTCCGGACTCGAAGTCTACATAAAGCAGATGACAAGCTTGTCGATTTTGGATATCTGATTAGCAATTGGTGCAACGCCTTGACGGCGCTATGTGAGAAACAGTATATTGTTGAGACCAGCCAGTAAGACGTGGAGGTCGTTCCGTCACGACATAGTGGTACGTCCCCCAGCCTTCGTATATGCCAGACATCGAGATCTGAGTAAGCTGTCTACTTTCGTTGCAAGGAGCGCAGTACATTTCGCACAACACAGATCGGATACAACAGATAACGACAAAGTATAAACTCGATAGGCAAAACTACCGTGAACTTGCGGATCCCGTAAAATACATCGTTATACGCACTTGACACAAGGAAAACGTTAAAGAGGTCTACAGCCTACATAAGATGGAACATGTAAGATATGATCTGCAAGTAACCCTGGGGGAGCTTCAGAGGTGTACGTACACCTTAGTCGAGGACAAGACTAACTATCTAGAGCCTACGTTGACGCTAAGTCGCCTCATTGCATGTTTGTATCTTGATGTAGACTGCAGCCTGTTTAGTATTTGCCTTGTCTGAGTGAGGTGCAGCCATCTCTGAATTTACCCCAGGATCACTCACAGATCAGATCTTACATCTTCTGAGACGCGACGAACGATCTGCGGGAGACTTGCCTATAGCTGCTGTCATGAGATGCAATTACTTGCATCCACCCTTGCTGGAGAAAAAGCCGAGAGATGCATGGTGACGTTGACGGGTAACTTCCTGCAGGGACGGGGGTCGCCTGGCGCGAACATAATACAGCGCTATAACAGAGGTACAAGTTTTGTTGGGACGACGGTCTTGTACTGTATGCATAGTGACCTTTACAGGAACGTAAAGGCGTTGCTACCTGGGTACGTAGGGTGCCAAGGACGGTCGAAAGAGGGGTTATATGCCGCTTCGTGATGTGGAGGTATCGTACTTGAGCGATTAGTAGGGTAAGAAGAGGAGCAAACAAGGAAGAACCGTGGCCGTGGAAATAAGCAGTCTTTGATGCTGTTGGGTAGGTAGTAAGAAGGTAGATGGAACTAGCAACGCCGTCGTTCAAGTGTGTCGACTGTCGAGCGGACCAAAGGGCTAAGGTGGTATCCACGCTAACGCTCACGGCAAGCTGAATCGGGGCCTTCCAGAGCTCGACGTTCCCATAGCCCGGTAATTTATAGCATGTCGTCGATCCGTGAACCATTGGCGATGACTGCGGACAATAGCCCTCTGACATCTGTCACCCATCGGGTCGCGAGATTGCGGACCGGCTGTCGACGAGTCGAAGACGCCACCCGAGGGTACGAGGGCCGGTCTGGTCTGCGCGAACACGTGGAGGTGCATCGCCGTGAGTGAGTCTACGATTTGCGGTGGATCGATTGGCTGCAAGTGTGCGATCGTAGAGTTTGTGACACAGCGACCCGGGCCCGCGATGCATGCGTAGTGCTGCTTGATGTACAATCGGTCAGGAGGGTGTGCAGCTGCGTGCTACCATTGCCCGCGACTCTGAGGCAGTGGGCACGCGCTAGACGCGCATTGGGAGCGGATATTCTGTAGCCCCAGAACTGTGAGACATGGTCACGATGGCAGAAGTGAAGTCCCAAAGTGGTGGAGGCAAAGCACAACAGGGAGGTGGATATATACCAGCAGCCGCGGCCCAGTTGGCATGAGTGTGGACCCGAGTCTGGCCAGACACTTCTAAGATTCTAAGATTGATTTCTCCGAGCGTCCAGTTCATCTCGGCAAAGGCTCTCACATGACAGTCGAATAGGTGTCTGGAGGGCTTCTGCGCTGCGTCCCAGGCTGGACAGACCCTGCAGCGCCTCGCATCTGCCCCGCAGTCGCCTGGCCAATATCTCCCAGCTGCAGCACCTCATACGGAACCCTCTCCGGAACTGCTCCAGCCCATGCATGCGCTCATCCCGCTGCTTCTTACTTAACAGCCAATTAACCGCCAATCACGCCTGCCTGGCTCCACCGTCTCTCCTGCTCCCTCTCGTCGCGTGTAGAGAGACAGGCTGCTTGGTGATAGCTGCGCGTCTTCTGCCTGTACAGCACGGCCCGGTGGGCCAGCAGTCTAGCCTTTTTCCGCTCTCACGAGACCCGCTCCCGGGCCTCGCATCGTGAGTCGCACACTCTTCAGCGCTCCGCGTACCTATACATCGTGACCCGCCAACGCATTCGGCGGGCCTCACCGCGCGCATTTCCAGCCACTTTACGCTACTGCCCATGGCCACCGTTTGTACAAGACGGCAGCGAGCTTCGGAACGGCGCTTGCACTGCAGTTCCAGCCAGCTTGACCAAGTCAGGACGCAATCCTTCTAGCGTCACTTGACCCTACAAACCAACGCCACGCCCCGAGGCTATCGATTATCGTGTCTTCAATAATTCCGTCTACCAGCACTACCCGTCTTCATCATCTCCTGGACGCCCGCCTGCCGTACTCCTGCTACACAACCACCCTCACATCCATCGCCAATCGCCAATACCAATACGAACCCCATCCTGGTCGACACGCTAGCCGCGCTGATCGTCACCTCCAAGTGTAAGCTAACATCCTATGCTACACTGGAGTTTTGTTGATCCATGGCAGACAAAGCACATACTCAATCGCACATCAATCTCTCCGACTATTCCTCGACACGCTCTCCGTCTGCACAGTACATCGGTAGACATCGGCAACATATCCACACGTCCAAATGATCCAAGTCTGTCACTCGGCCCCTCCATACAAGACCGTGCATCCGAGGCGACTCGTGCTTGCACCGGTCATACAAAACCAAACCACAATGAATCCCCCCTCAGCACCCAACCCGGCAGGCGACGCAGGCGTACTACCAGACTTCAACAACCTCAGCCTCCAGGACGCACCATCACCGCCCGCCAACGACGACGATCTCGACGTTTTGACCATGTCACGGGAAACCGCCATGAAGTTGATCGCACGCTCAATAATTGCCATTGCCAATGCAGCTGGCGATGTGCCCGCCACACCACCACTTTCGCGGCCCGGGACGCCTGGCGGACGGGAAAACCACCTCATACGCTCCCACCGACGGACAGCGTCCAGACCAGCGACGCCTATCCCCGCCGAAAAAGAGAACCACCAACCGACCGAGCTAGCTCCACCGGAAGCGGGTCACGATGAGCCCGTCACCATACACGACATTGGCGCCGGAGCGCAGCCCGAGTCCGTGCAACGAGCCAACATGGCTCGCAAGTTTTTCTCCAAGACGGTGCCCAAAGTCGGCGTCGAGGAGTACATGAACCGCATTCAGAGATTCTGTCCGCTGTCCACGGGGGTTTGGCTAGCTGCTGGGTCGTACATGTTGCGATTATGCGTTATCGATAGGAGCGTTCCCCTCACATACCGGACAATGCATCGGCTCATACTGGCTTGCGCTCTCGTAGCGATGAAGGCATTAGAAGATCACAGGTGGCCGCAGAAGCGCTTTGCTGCCGTAGGAGGTGTCGACGAGGCAGCACTCAGCCGACTTGAGCTATGCGTAGAGTTCTTGCTGTCGTTTGACGTACAAATCTTCACACCAGAGAAGCTCAAGGAGTTGACACTTCAACTGCAAAAGGCGGGACAGGCTGCAACCATGACCTGTAGATTACCGACATCCTTCAGCCTGAAGATGAACAACCCAAAAGTACGGAATCCGCAGGCTGTTTGAATTGGAACGACACTAGGGCAAGCATCTCCTTTTGTTTGGAATTTTAGGATATCCCCATCTAGCATGGCAATGGCGTTTGAGTAGCAAAACACGGGCATGACGGCCAGAGAAGCGTCTGTACTATAGACACCAAGAGGTGTACTGGAGAGAATCTCAAAAATTTCGACGTGCAAACACAGGCTGCATTGAAACCCACTTTTGGCGGTAGAATGTGGAGACCCGATAATGTAGATTCAGGTACCGGCTCCAAGTGGAGGAGATGCGAGCCGAGCAAGTCATGTGCAGGCCGAGATAGCTGCTGATAGTGTTGTTGAGTATCCATGGAAACAATGGCAATCACTGCAATTGGCAGATTGTTGACTTGGATCATGTACGTCCTTTTTCCATGGTGTTGAGGCGTCGCAATGAGACGACCATCCTTGCCAATCACAGTTTAGCGTGCGCGGCAACGATGATCGTGCCCCTGGCGCGCCGCATGTTGCTTGATTGATTCCAGACTGCATCCTTCACCCGACACTAACAGCCACCGCCCAACACCCGCCTCTACCTGCCTTTACTCGACGTCTGCCTACATCGCATTCAAGATTCGCATACATTGTGTGTATAGTGTCCCTCGCTCTACCATCGGACAGCGCTCGACGCTCGCTTTCACGCCACACCGCTGCCCGCCCGTCACTCTCTGCCTTCACAAATCCTCACCATGACGCGGATAATACTACCCTTTGCCGCAGTCGTCGCTGCCCTTTCTCCACTCGTCAGTGCCGGGATCAAATTCACATCACCGAAAGCGGGCGACAAGATTGCGGCTGGCGGAGCCGTCACAGTAAAATGGGAAGAAGGTGGCACAGGACCGAAGCTCGCAGACCTGACAACGTATGAGTTGCAGGTGATCGTGGGAGGCAATGATGGCACTGAGCAGGTAGGTTGCGAAGACTGGCATCAGCACAGGCGCAACGAAAAGATACTAATGAGGGGAAACAGTTCCCAGTGGGCGTCATCACAACAAGCGGCGCGTTCACAGCGGGCAACACAGCCTCGGGCAGAATTGAAACATCTCAGTCTGAAGACCTGAAAGACGTCAATGCCTAGTAAGTTCCCACCCGAAACCCAGCTCAACGACCGACTAACCTGACCGCCATAGCTTCATCAAGATGATCGCAGTTGGTAAGACTGGCGGTCAGCTCCTCACCTACTCCGATCGCTTCCAGTTCAGTGGCATGACGGGCAAGAACATTCTGAGCCCCGCGGTCAAAGCCGCCGTCAAGGACATCGATACCACAACCGGGCCGCCGACCGTAGACACGACGACCGATGGGACGAATCCTGCTGACCCAGATCCGGTTGATGACGACGTATACAAGGTGGACTACGCGATGCAGACGGGTCTGACGCGTTACGCGCCCATGCAGCCTGTACCGCCCACCAAGATCACCGCCAAGAACACAAAGCCTTTGTACCCTACAAGCAGCGTCAAGATTGCGAAGTCGAGGCTGCCGATCCCAAGCCAATTGACTACGCTCACGCAGAGTCAAACTTTCTCTGTTAAGAGCATGGAGAACACGGTACGTTTTTTGGGTGTATAGAGATGCTAGAAGCTTTACTGACATCTTTTAGGTTGCCGCAGCTCCTCACGCCACCGACGACATGGCCAAATTCCTTAGGCGCTGGCAGGACTAGATCTCCCCCGATCACATGCATTACCGATTCGACAACGAACGCATCGGACGAAACAAAGCGACTATGCTCCACCGTACGACAAAGCACAAACACCCACCTCTCGTGCGAAAGGCTTTGGGGTCAGTATTAGGAGCCATACTGCATTGGTCAGCTCGGCTGCAGCATGGACACTTGCGATTTTGGAGGTATCATTGATCTATCGCATGGATTGACAACGGCATAATGGACCGGCGTTTAGGGATCGAGCGTGTTTTGCGGCGTCAGACGACTTGTTGTGGGTTAAGAATTTAGACATGATTATGTAGTACTACGAAAATTAGCGAAGCGACATGCATATCTATACACGACAAATACTCGCGATGTGCAACTGAGGATCAAATTCAGAAGGGTCGCACCTTCCTGTTATGATCGAGACTGGTAGACCGCGGCTACCCGTCAGATGCAAGCTCACCCCACCACCCCACCTTCGCGGCCTGTAGCTATCAGCGCGCCTAACAAACAGCAAAGCTCCTTCAAGCTCCCCATGCGTGCCCTGCTACCTCAAATCAGTCGTTCACTTCGACACACTCTACGACCACGTCTGCCATCACCAACACACTCAGCGACTGCAACACCTTGCTTTTACACCTTATCTGCAGAGAGCGGAAGCTGGACCAACGTGCACAAGATGGCGATTGCCGAAAACTATGAAGAGGTGCTAAAGGGCAAATACCCGGCCAAGGCACATGCAAAGAAAGTCGCAGAGTGGATCATCGAGAAGGGTGGAGACAAGAATGGAACAATTTACCTAGAAGCGCAGAAGCAGAAGTTAAACGAAGTATACATTCATGATGATGCTGGTCACAACACAAACTAATGTACTTGCCAGGACAACGATGGCGAGGCACCATTCCGGTAGGCATCATTTGGGTCGAGGTGAGCATACGCTGACCCTTTCCATCTAGTCAGCGACGGTACTTCTTCTATCTCAGCGGCTGCGAGCTGCCAGATTCGTATCTTGTATACGAAATAGCCACCGAGAAGCTCACACTCTTCATCCCTCCTGTAGAGCCGGATGAGGTTATCTGGTCTGGTCTGCCCATGAGCCCGGAAGAGGCCAAGGCCAAGTACGACATTGACGAATGTCTGACTACCAAAGACGTCAACTCTCACCTAGCAAGCCAATCCGAATCCGCGCAATCAACCGTTTACGCTATTCCGGAGCAGGTATCCGATCACATCACATTTATCTCCTACAAAGAGAAGGAGTTCAAGCAGCTCAAGACCGCCATTGAGTACTGCCGCGTCACGAAGACAGACTATGAAATCGCCCTCATCCGCAAAGCAAACGTCATCTCAACAGCAGCCCACGAGGCCGTCATGAAGGCTGCGTCGAAAGCGCAGAACGAATGCGAACTTGAGGCTGTATTCCTCAAGGCGTGTGTAGAGCGCAACGCGAAGAACCAGGCCTATCACTCGATTGTCGCAGCCGGTGAACACGCCGCGACGCTGCACTATGTCAACAATGCCGCTCCCATCTCGGATCAGAACCTTTTATTGTTAGACGCAGGATGCGAGGTCGACTGCTACGCTTCCGACATCACACGCACGTTCCCCGTGAAAGGAAAATTCACAACTGAATCCCTCGCCATCTACAAGATCGTTCTAGACATGCAGCATCAGTGCACCAACGCGCTCAAAGCTGGTGTCGTATGGGACCACGTGCACGAGCTCGCCCATAAGATAGCTATCAAGGGACTCTTGGACCTCGGTATTTTGAAGGGCGATGCGGAGGAGCTCTTCAACAAGAGAATCAGCGTAGCTTTCTTCCCTCACGGTCTAGGACACTACTTGGGAATGGACACCCACGATTCTGGCGGCGACCCCAACTACGCGGACAAGGACGTTATGTTCAGGTATCTGAGGAAGAGGGGAACTCTACCAGAACGCAGCGTCATTACCGTTGAGCCTGGTATCTACTTCTGCAAGTTCATCATTGAGCCGTACCTCAAGGATGAGGAGAAGAAGAAGTACATTGATGAGAGTGTGCTGGACAAGTACTGGAGTGTGGGTGGTGTGAGAATTGAAGGTATGTTGACACGATGAAGGGTGTTGAAGGTATGCTAACGTATCGCAGATAACGTGCTCGTTACCAAGGATGGGTTTGAGAACCTGACGCCGACGGTCAAGGAGATTGATGACATTACTCAGTTGATTGTATCTGGACAATAGGATGACTTCGTCGCCGTCGCCGTCGCCGTCGCGCAAGTTGAGTACATAGTCATGTAGCGTATCCAACGCAATCGCACTGTTCATGGTCGGGCTTCATTATGATTGTGGGCTCTGGCAATTTCGAAAGATTTGGCCGCGGATACGTGTATGCACTATCCAACCCCCTTGAATAGCCCATGCACGATACAGAGAAGGAAGCTGAGTACCGAATGTGAAGCTGCTCAACATACTAAACAGTAAAAGGAGGACACTCGGGAGCGCGACAGCACTAGGAGTAGCTACTATTCTTGTCGCAACATGCCAAGAAAAAATCGAGGTAGAAGTATACATCACATCAGGAGGTACAAACTTATCAAATTTTAGCGACGTGTATGCAGCAAAGTGCGACTTGGTTTTGAGCACCCGCGGTGACAGTGGTCTTGTAGAGCATAAAGTGTTTCGTCTTTCTAGATGCTCACTAGTCTAATTATACCAAAACGAAGGGAAAAAACGCGTCATAAAAGCGATTGTATAGAAAAGAAGAGAACAGCAGCACCTGGTACAAGGAAAAGTTTGAACAGGCCTGCAGCCTAAAATAGGGTAAATACATCCAGACTAGAAGATCTGACTCCAATGTAGACTCCAGAGTGTCCTGAGTTTTCCTCGATTAAGGTGGCAGCGTTGGGAAGCGCGGAGTTGAATTGGAATCTCTTCCATGAGTCTCCACGCTCTAGTTGGGCTGCAATAACGCTAAGGTAGCGATGCAGTAACCGTACCCGGCCCAAAGGTTAGAGCAATCTTCGCTCAACTGTGGGTTGAGTTGACGCAAGACAGCCAAAGGGACTGGTGCGGCCTCGCAGGTACTGCCGTCCGAAGGAGTATAGTATTTGATGCAGCCGTCTACGGCGCCGGTGATGGTAGTGTCCAGGACGCCACTGTCAGCAGTCTGGGTATCGGCATTCTGCTTGGGCGCTGGCTGTTCATCCACGGTCTGATGTTGTTCAAGATCAAGTTGCTGATCGTCATTGTTGTTGTTGTTGTCGTTGTTGACAGTCTCGCGGCCCGCAGTCTGAGTAAGGCTAGCGACAGCACCGTTGTCGCAGCTACTATCCCCGAAAGGTTCGATGAGACGGTTTGCAATGTCCGAAGCGTAGCATGCGGTAGCGCCTTGACCCAAGTTCGGATCTGTGACCTGATCGCCGGAGTTGTAGAGACGCGCTGCTTTGTAGTACTTGCTGTCGTCCGGGGTGGCACTGAAGGCGTCCAGCGCCTTCTTCAGACTTAGCCTTAGACCTTCTCCAGTGGTACCTTCGTGGATCATGTCATGGATGACGTTGGCGGGGCAGGGCGAGATGGTATGGCAGGAGGCAGTTCCTGCGCCTTGCATAAGACCCGCTGGTGTACAAAGTCAGTGTATGTATCTCACGTAGTTCAGGAAGAGACACTTACGGTTGGGCGCGTCGGACGCGGTAGTGGGAGCACGAACACAACCCTTGGACTCTTGCATCATTATGGCGAGAATGAGCTCTTTGGGAACGCCAGAAGCTGCTGACTCTGACTCAATACTGTCCTTGACGGCCTGAGTTTCGGCCTCGCTGTTGTTGTCGCCCCAGCCGTGATTTTCGCAAGAACCCTTGATAGTGTCCTGATTGGATGCCCTACTAATGTGTAAGTAAATAACATACTCTTGTCTTGATGGAGACATACCAGGCGTCCTCGAAAGACTTCCATTCGCTCTGCTTCGGCCATCCTGCAGCGGCCGACCCGTCACCGCCAAACGTGATGTAAGCAGCTCGCGGAGCTAAAGTAGTAGATGTTGCGACACGAGAGTAAAGCGGGAACGCGTATCCAAAAGCGATGAAGCTGCTAGCAGCGAAGATAGAGGTTGGTAACATTGTTGTTATAGTCGAAAAGCTGTTGGTCTAATGCAAATCTTGGTGAAGAAATACAATGAACTTGGGGGTTCGTATGCTGGAATACGCACGAGGCCGGTCAGTCTGATACTCGTATTAGCATTGTAGTCCCCAAACCATTTTTTGGGGTTGCTGTCCAACGTGGAAAACGTATACGTACGCGGTAAACGACTAGTTGGACTCAGGCGTTGATTAAAGAAGAGAGGCTTCTGAACTGAGAACCAGGAAGAACAGAGGGAAAAGAATGTAAAGAGTTGCTTTGGCGATGAGGTCCTCTAAGTAGTCGCGCAGTAAAGGCGATACATTCGAAACACGCATCGCGAAAGTGCCCACAATTGTAAGCGACAAGAACAATCACTTCGCCCGGAAGGCCTTGCAATTTCTCAAGATTCGTAAGAAATCTTTGCCTTGCGAGGTGAATGTCGCAAACGCCGCCCCTGGGCATCCCTGTCCGTCATCCTCGCGCCCGTACCTGAACGTTTCCGAAGGGGGCGAAATTACTCAACGACACTACATATATTTCTCGGTTGTTCGCGTGTAACCCGAGACGCGAAAATCCTAGATAAAGCAATTCTTTCCATGTGCGATACTGTTGCTGAGCGCATGTTGACTTGCTGCGAGATACAGTGACCGGCCCAATATAGTCAGTTGATGGTGTGAATCTCTCGAGACCCGAGGCGAAAGCTGACCCCACGAAGGAGGAGACACTAAAGATACTCCTGTTTCTCAGTGAAAGGGGGGAGGCCGATCGTTGCAGAGTGGAACAGACAGAGCTTCCCAAGGCTGATTTTCAATAAAGTCAGCACAATCTCGCCCATGTAGCCCCGAGACATGTAGAATACGACGTTGGGGCACAAAGGTATGGAGATCTTACAGCCCCTTCAAAGGCAACAAGAAAACCTCGATGAGGCTGATGTGGGGGTTGGAAGAGCAAAGACGCATGGAACTGGAAGCTGCCTGGAGAATAGAAGTAACTGAAAGGGTATATTCATGATTCATGTCTCGTTGTCATTATATAGGACATTGATTCCGGTCGATGTCACAAAAGTTTCGCCACATGAAGCCGTCGCTCAGGGCGCTTTCCATCCTCCTCGCTGTAAATAAACCACGGTAGGCTCTAAGTGCGTGAATACTCCACTTCCGTCAAGCCGCAGCGACTACTACTCAGAGTCTACCAACCGCGATTCAGCTACTCTCCTGAACCTTCTTGACGATGGCGACAAGGCGGTCGAAGAGGGGCTGTCCCTTCTCGATGCCATTGACCTTGGTGACGACATCCTCAGCGGAGTTCTCCTTGAGGATCTTGGCAAGCTCAGCGGACTCTTCGTCGCCCTCGACGTTCTGGAAGCGGTAGGCCTGCTCGACTGCGCCGAGGAGAGCATCGACCTTCTCACCCTTCTCAGCCAGCTGAGCGGCGGGACCGATGAATCGCTCCTTGCGAGAGAGCTTTCGGAGAGGAGCGCGGCCGACACGCTCGACGTTGTCCTTGAGGACAGGGTTGGAGATACGCTTGATGATCTCCTCGACGTACTCGTCTTGTTCTGATGTCTTGACGCCGTGCTTGGTGACGATCAGGTGGGCAGTCTCCTTGACAGCGTCACGAACAGTGTCGTGGAGCTTCTTGTCCTGAAGCACCTCGTGGATGTATTGGACCTTGTTCTGGTGTCCGTAGTAGGCGGCAGTGGCGTGGGAGGTGTTGACGGTGAAGAGCTTACGCTCAATGTAGGGCTCGAGGTCGTCGACGTAGTGGATGCCCTTAACATCCGGCTTCTTGCCGCCGTTCTCGAAAGGCTTCTGCTCGACACACCACTCGTGGAACTTCTCAATGACGACGTCGAGGCCAGCGTTGGGGGGCTGCTGTGGGACGATACGGTCAATGGCCGAGTTGGCGAAGCGAGCCTTGCTGTCGATGTTCTTCTTGGTCTCCTCGCTCAGCTTGCCCTCGATGAAACCCCTCCATGTAGTTGTAGCGTTGATGGCGTTCTCGCAGGCGATGACGGCGATGGGGTAGTCGAGCTTGCGGGCCTCGATGGCCTTGGCGACGGGCTCAGCGACGAACTTGAGGATGTTGGGGCCGACAGCGCAGGTGACGACGTCGGCGGTGGCAATCTCCTCGACGACCTTGTCCATCTCGTGCTTGGAGTTGATAGCGCGGTAGTGGTCAATGGTGAACTTGCGCTCGCCGTCATCACCAATCTCGGTGACGGTGTAGGTGGAGGTCTTTTGGAGGGACTCGATGATGCTGTCCATGACATCGACGAACACGACCTCGTAGCCAGAGTTGTGGAGGAACTCGGCGACGAAGCCACGGCCGATGTTACCACCACCGAAGTGGACTGCCTTCTTCTCGTAGGGCATGATGTGTGTAGTGTGGGTGGTGTGTATTGAACTACGGGAGTGTTATTGGTTGAAGTCGGGTTGGAAGTGAGGTGTAGGGAGTTGAGGGGTGGTAGGGAAGAGGAGTGTTTATTGTGTTGGTGGTGGAGCAGGAAGGCGCGTTGGTGGGGTATAAGTAGTAGGGAACCGGCGGGATTTACAGGTTACGTATGCAATTGGGAAGGACTTACCTGGCCAGAAGGTTCTCTAGCGGGCGGTGTGCAGGTGAGTGTGGAGGTGCAGTAGGCTGTGGTGAGAGAGGGGGAACAGGTGGTGTTTATGTTGGGGGCGCCCAGCGCGATGAGTGAGGTGGCTTAGGATAGACCCCGCAGGGCGGTGACGTTTATTATTGACACCCGATTGGCCGCTAGGAGCGAATGGAGGTAGGCACGAACTGCGAGACAGTGCAAAAGCAATACCGCAGACGCGGGTGTTTGACGTGTCGCTTGCAATATGGCAGGCAGCCCACCAACATGAAGTTGAACAGAATATATTAATATCTCACTCGTGGGTAATGCCCAACGTCTTACTTGTGATGCCTCACGAGGCGGAGCTTTCCCGGCCGTGGAAGCCGCTCCATAGCTTGCAACGCCCAACATTATGCTTCGCCTGGATCGCGCATTCCACGATGTGGATGGGGCTGTAGACGTCATAAGTCGTAGCGCCGACAGTGGCCTTGTGGAGACGCCGGTTCGGTCTCCCGTTTTTAGTTTGCGCCAAGCCCATCCATCTCCGTTGCTGTCAGGGCGCCCCGCCATGGGCAGAAAATTGTGTCGCAATACCATCGCGATCGATTTGAAGTGGGTATCTCGTGATTATAAAGATTTTATGGAATTTCCAAATAGTCCGATGAAGTGTTTAGAAGGTCCGCAGCCCCAATTTATGCATGAATCGCCTGTTGCACGTGCGGGTAGACGGCTATCATGCGGTGGTAGAGGTCTGGGTGCTCGCGCATAAGAACCTCGGGGTCCCAGGCCATTGCGACGAAGATGGTATCGATACCACTGCTCAATGGCGTGGTGAAGATGTTGCCTGAGAGGGGTTAGTATGAGCTTTACCAATATTGCTGACAACTTACAAATCTGGAGACCAATCAGGAAAGAGAAGGCTACCACAACCGGAGTGTAGGCGCCGTCTGAGTTGTATTCGGGCGATGTGAAGATAAGGTAAAGGTAGGCTAAGAGCGCGCAGGCATATGCGATGAAGGTAGCTCCCATGGAAAGCACAGGTCCGATCAAGCACTCGTTGACAAGCGCATCGACACCACGATCCTTGATCATCCTATCATAGTTAGTCTCGATGTTACTGGGTGTTAAGCGACAGAAGAACTTACTTCCAGGTATCCTTCGCTGCAGCGACGTAGCTCTTTCCGTAAAGCGCGATGTAGCTGAATGCGTATCTGTTCAAGAACTCGACAGCCCAGTTGAGGATGCCAATCAAACAACCCAGGACGCAAAACAGGACCGCGCCCACCATGTTGCCATCACCGGCAGCATTGCGCTGAGCGGCCGAGCAAAGCTGACGCAGAGTCTGGATGATAGCTACAAGCAAACTTCCAAGACTGATACTGCCGAAGCTGTAGGTCACGGACCGCTTGAAAGCACCGCGGGTCGCGCCCTTTGGCATGGAGTTCGGGTTGAAATACCAGGAGCCGTATACGCCGGAGATGGTGGTGTGGATTGTGTTCTTCAGCCATTCTGAAATCCAGTACATGGCGAAGGTAACGAAAACGAGCAAGCCAATTACCTTGCCGCTTCCGCAGTCGCCGACACCGTTTCTGCAGTTCGAATTGGCACCGTTGGGTGTATACTGAACATAGATGGAGACCAGCGTGACGGAGTACCACGCGCCTAGTGCAGCAGCGAGCAGTCCTCCGACCAGTGATACGATGTAGGTGTGTCCGTACTTCTTTGACACGTCGATGGCAGTCTGCAGCATGAGGACGCTGAACGGGATCCTGGGAATCCAGCTGATGAAGCAGAAAACGTAGAAGACACTGAACAGCAGGAACACAATGCCTCCAGACCAGTATCTCCTGGACAACATGTAGATTGCCGTAACAAAGCCGAAGATGATGTTGAGTATGCCGGTGATCCAGATGAACTGCTTGGTGAACTTGCGCGCAGCCCACATGTATGCATAGCTGAAGACCGTAGCTAAACCGAGGACGAATGCGAAGAGGATGATGGTGTTCGAGTTGAGAGCGAAGTTGTTGGTGTCGCCGCCGTAGATGCCTCCGCTATTGGTACGCGCTGTGTCGCGCGTTAGTCTTCATTCCAAGCGCATTCCGTGCTGAGCGAATTGAGTACTTACAATATCCGCGAATTGAAATCACACTGACTGCGACATAGCCTAGGAAAACAGCGATGAAGAGTAGTCCCGCCCACCAATCGTTGTACTTGGGCTTGTCAAGTTTGAACGCCTGTTCGAAGCTCTGTTTGTTGTCTTGCTGGTAGCCGTTCTGCTGCTGCATGGGCGGCGGTCCCTGAGGCGGCGGCGCATAGTTCTGGCCATACTGGGGAGGTTGCTGTCCGTATGGCTGACCCTGGTAGTATGCGCCCTGCGGTTGCTGGGGTGGTGCGGCGCCCGTGTAGTAATCGGCAGCTTCACCGTGTTGCGCCATTGTGTCGATTGATGGCAGCTCTGTCGGCGAACGAAGAATGCGATGGTGAGGGGAAAGGAGAGGACGACGCTGTAAACAGAAGTTTGGGCAAGCTAGAGCGGATGATGCTTCGCGGCGTTACTAGGGACTCGCTTTTGCGACAGAGCGAACGAGACCAATCGTGTGGCTGAAGATCGGCAATGCGGCTAGTGCGAACCAGATAATGAGCGTCATGGCTGCGGGCACAGACACTCGTGCGCTCAGTGTAGTGGCTGGGCTCCATCCAAAGACGCCATGTGCGGCCTAGATCGCGCGGCTGGGAAGCTTGTCCAATCCTACCAGCATGCCTGCCGATGATCTTGATTTCAGCAATAGATTGCTGCATCGCCCGCCCACTGGTCTACCGACTTCCAATTGTCGCTGCGCTCAAGGGAAAGAATCCAGCAGCTCGCGTCATCCTACTTTCAGTTGTCTTGACAAACATCCGTGGTCGTCGCCGCATAACTTCCGTAACGACTGTACGCGTGGCTGCAAATTCTCGTGAGCCGATCGGCCGTCTTGGGTTTCGCGCACTGTCACAGCATCAGTCCACAGCCTGATTGAGAATGCCGAATTTCCGGCTTGTTATGCGCCTGGCATCAGCTGATGCAACAGGAAAGTATCCATAGACGCGGACAACGATACTGGAGAGGCATGCACGAATATTGGACGGGCGGGGACAACCATGTGGCACGGCGCATTTGAACAGGGTTGACACACAGATTCCCGTACAGGTACAAGCGTTGCATCTTCGCAATTCCCTGTTTTATCGACAGCTTCCGTCGTTCAGCATCAAGCATTCTTCCTTTTTGTTTTCTCCCTCTCTTTCCGATGCGCCCAAACGTAGAAGAACGGATATACTGTCTCTGGTAGCAGCGTGACGATCATGCCACCAATACTCCACCAGTTTCCGACGTAAGACCAGTTTTCCGGTACGTTGACATATCTCCATATGAACACCAGAAACGCCGTAATGCACCCAAGATATCTCGTAATCCTAGACTTGTCAGCGCTCGGTTCCTGGAAATGATTTAGGCAAGTAAAACGCTAAACAGGTCTGCAGACTACACTGGGATAGAATCCAGCAGATCGGAATATCTGGCGACAACGTAGGCTCCAGTCTCTTCAATCCTTCCCTTGAATGAGGTGGAACTGCGATACGCCATGATGCAAATGGGAAAAAGATCAACGTACCAAATCTCCAGACTCTGCCCTTTGGTATCCTGTCGCTGAACCAGATACAAGATCTGTCCCCAGCCGATGGGCAACTCCAGATATAGTCCCGTGAAAAACGCCGTCTTCTGCTCCCTCTCATCCGGCCACACCGTCCCAACCCACCACAAAAAGGCCATCCAAGCCGGCACCTGCCACAACAGCTTCACGATCGTTCTCTTCCTCTCCTCCGGCTTGTACGCATACTTGAGCGCGACAGTGACGAACGTAATATCGAACAGAAACCACACAAAGAAGCAAGCTCTCTGGAAAGTCGTGCTAGTGCAGATATACGCGTAGTAAATCTCGTACGCCATGGTCGCGGAAAGAAACTGTACAGTACCAGCTAGGTAACGGTCTGAGTAGGTTCGGATGGTGTAGAAGATGTAGCAGAGCGTATAGAGTATACCGCAGGCTATGATCAGGAAGTCGGTTACGAAGAAGTAGGATTCGGGTGGATTCAGGGCGACATCGACTGATTGGGGTATCAGATGATACGACGACCACTCTCGGGCTATTTCGAACGGCATGCTCATGGGAATGTGTGCTGTGCGATATCGCCGGTGGCAAGATTGGGTGTGTTATGATGCTGGAGAAGTCGTCGAAACGAGCGATTGGTTGTAGCAATTACCAGCAGAGAGAAAGAAAAAGCGACAGGAGAACAGACGCCTTGTGGAGATAGAACACACTATGCCACTAAATCCCGATTATACATTTGTCAACACATCCTGACTATGAAGTCAACGCTGACGTGCCAAGCTTCCGTCATGTTCCGAATAGGGCGAACTTTGCAGATGGTGGATCTGGAGGCCTGATTTACACCTTCCGCGAGTGCCGACTCCGCCTTCGAAGCGCAGTAACCCTTTGCCATCAGCTTGACTCATTCGCGACGTCCTAGTGTGCTGAGCACGATGCAGATGGAGATAGAGACAGCAGCCCTGCAGGGCTTCCAAGGTTTAGGGCGACACATCGACTAGACTACTTTAGGCGCTAGCGCACAGAGCAGCCACCATGTATCCCGGGGAAGAGTCATGCCTGCAGCCTCGGCCAGCATAGAAAGTCACGACTTGAGCGACTGAACTTCCACCCTGCCTACGACACAGAGAAACCCATCGACTTCGTCCAATATGACAGAAGCTCAACGTCCCAAGATCGGCGTCGGCGTTGTCATCCATGACAATGCGGGCAACATCGTCATGGGCGAGCGCGCAGGCTCGCACGGCGCAGGAACCCTTCAATGTCCCGGAGGCCATCTCGAGTATGGCGAGTCGTTTGCTGAAACGGCTGCAAGAGAGGTTCTGGAGGAGACTGGGCTTGAGGTGGGCAATATCAAGTTTCTGACTGCTACCAACGATGTTTTCGGAGAGGGAAAGCACTATGTGACCATTTTCGTTACCTGCACCATCACCGGTGAAAATAAGACACCCATGGTAAGTCCCTCTTCATGTTGGAGTTGACGGGGAAAGGAGATACAGTACTGATGGGCTTGACAGCCGATGGAACCGCATAAATGTGCTGCGTGGAGTTGGGTTCCTTGGAGCCAAATGTGGTCATGGGCTGGAGAACAGGCGAAAGCGGAGCAGGAAGGAAAAGAGGTGCAGAAGAATCTATTCTTGCCGCTTGTCAATCTATGGAGAGAGTATCCTGAGATGAAGGATGCGCTCGTCGGGAGATGACAATGATCTTATCGGTAGTGCATCTCATCTGGAAAATTGCTCCTCGTTGTTGTGGAAATCTTCTCTACTCTACTCCGCTACAGTCGCGTTTGCTCATGCTTTATGATGAGAGTGAATCCATGTTGAAGAGCACGACCTCTTTCAAAAGAGAGATTGAACATACGTCTACGGAGGCTAAGAGATACATACCACCAAGGAGTCTACATTGCCTAAAGATTTTGTGAATTTCTGTTTTGACAGCAATGTAGACAGCGACTTATCTATTTAGTTCCTCCTCTAAGTAGGACAGCACTGCGAATTGCTTTGCTTTAGATAGACAAACTGTACACAAGATAATAGTAGGAAAGGAGCGTTAAGAATAGTAGTACATAATTAAGCTTAAGCGCATCGGGATGATGTCACAGGAAGATAAAATGCACCCCGCGAGAGAAGGTATGGCGCACGCTTCTGTTTTGAGAAAGTAGGTAAATTGATATATGGGTATAATATACGCGTGGCGACATCGAGCAGTGACATTGCGCCGAGACACAGTCATCCTGTCATGGCAGCCATCATTGCGCTGCGCCGTGTAAACATCAGATGATACGAGACCAGAGAGCAGAGCTCAGAAGCTTCGCTCCTATCCTTTCCTGGATCTTGGGCTCCTAGGCACTAGACCCTCACCCTGCGACTTCATCTTCTCCATCGCCTGCTGAACTTGATGCTGCCGCTTTGAAACGTGCTCGTGTCGCTTCTCAACTTCTGCCTCAAACTCCTGCGCTAGCTTGCGTTTCTTTTGCCTTGCCTCCTTTGTGCGCCGAATGATGTCTTGGAATCGATCGAGGAACCAGTCGCCAGCATCCTCCCATTCGGTTGTGGGCAGTGATTGGAAGAACTCGGATTGCTGAACGGCATCTGGGTTCTGCTGTACTAACTCTAGACGCTCGACCAGAGGCTTCTGAAGATCCTCCTTTGAGAGCACAGACGGCCGGGCACGGGGATCAGTATCGAAGCTTTCGTTCCTAAGCTGCTCGTAACTCATCCCGAACAGCGTCGTGTGGTCGTAGTCTTCATGGGAGACAACCTCAGGCTCCTCGATCGGCGCTTGTTCGACCGATTGCTGCTTCGCGACGGGTTCATGTATAGCCGGTACTAGAGGCTGGCGCTTTTGAGGCGCATGAGGCTCACTGGGCATGGCATTGTTCCTGGGTGGGGGCTGCGTCCTGGGGCCAGAAGACTGTCGAACAAGGTGTTGCTGAGATTTGCTGGGCTGTACCTGGGTACTAGGATGAGGACCCGAATACATCGGCAGGTTGGCGGTGCTATTATGCTTGTCCGGATTATAGGCTTGGTGTTGACTGGTGGGAAGGGCGAGGGCGTGATGCTGAACATTTTGACCTCCAGCCTGCCGGGAAGGCGCGGCAGTGCGAGACTGCTCGCGGAGCTGCGCACTATGCTGAAACAAACCCGATGCCTGCTGCGTATCCTGGCTGGCAATTGGCATGTTTCGCCGTTGCTGTTGTTGCGGGACATGGGACGCCGGCATGCGTGCAGCTTGCTTGTTTATGTTCTGACGTTGAGGCGGAGGGGAACTGGGAACAAACTCGTTTTGGTAGTTGGAGAGTGCTTCCGGCCCGCCTTCCCACTCGGATGGCTCACCATTGGTAGTCGGGGGATACGAGTCGCCTCGGACTGTTGGGAGTCCACCGCGCCCTGCCTGATGCAAAAAGGCGACTTGCTCATCGTAAGTAAGATGTGCTACTCCGCTCGCATGAATGAATTCTTGGTTCATTTGCACCATTTCGTCGTCATAATCTTCAGATCCGTCTTCCATATCCTCTAGCTCGTCTCCATTGTCATCGTCTTCTCCCTCCATCTCCGAAGTGCCACCAAGATTGACGACATGATCTTGCTGTTGGTAGTGCTGCTCTTTCTGTTGACTATCTTCGACCTGTACGACAGATGGGTTCACAGTAGTGTCAAGACTCTCTGCATCAGTGTCGTAGAGATCACGCTTCTGACTTGGACCCGGACCTGATTGTCGATTTTGGAGGGGCGGCTGTAAGACGGCGGAGCTGTTCTGGGTAATGTTGAGTCCGCGCGCCGGAATACCAGAAGTCGATTGAGGTTGCTGAACGGGATGTCCGTTTCTTATTGATACCCTCGCGTTTGCTGCATTGGCTTGGCGGTCGGGCTTGCCTTGAGGCTGACCAGCGGCAGGACTGCCGGTTCTCTGACGAGCGACAAAGCCTTGCATCGTGAATGAAGAGAGAGCCGCACTCACTCTATTACCTCGGTATTTGTCGCCGAACAGCTGAAGTTGAGGTTTGCGAGGTGAGTTGAGAAAGTGAGTGCTGAGGCTTGAATGGGAAAGCGCGTCTCTGATGATGTTCTAACTTCATCCGGACAAGCCTCGGCCCCGCCAAAGTGAGCCTAGCACCGCGATGACGATATCTTATCTCCGAGTCGTGGTGTTGCTCCCTTCGCCCATGTGTGTAGACTCGTGCCCCACGAGTTTGACATTCTACGTTGCAACCTGATATACATACAATCGCATCTCACATCATGGGTGAATGCTATCTCTACAGGCTCCCCAACGAGGCACGCTTTCCTGTCACATCCGTATCGCGTCCAACTTGCTAACCATTGCAGTTACTTCTCCACCTCCTTACGCCCATACCAACGCCCGAACTCCTACAATTGACCACAATATCGCACCGCATATACACGCTCATCCTACGTATTCTCCATAATCGGCTCACTGCAGCTGCCGAGCTACATTCGCACTCGGTGCTTCTCGAATGTTTCCATCCCTCTGCGAAGCTCACCGAGCCCCCGTACTTCTGTACATACCGATGCACCGATGGCTTGAAGAGTTACGATGATTACAACTCTGCTACAAAGGAGGTTGGCAGACTGGCCGAATACAACAACATGTACTCGCGCTTCAAGCCCCATAGGCGCGATTTGGAAGCGGATGGCAGGAGAGTGAAGCGCCGACCTGGAGACGTACCTGGCAGTCGTACCTTTCCGGGGGCAGTACAGGAGAGATACGAAGGCGAGACCGTGAGACAGACACTTGGGTTAGAGGCGCATGAATTGTTCACGCAGCTGGTTGCGCAGACGAATCTTGTCAAGATCGGTTCTCACAATCTCTTCACCAACTTTGTTGACATTGAAGAAGGTGTACTCCGAGTGTGGAGAGATTGGCTGCGAGACATTGCGGCGAGGGGCTTGACGGCGAATACGGAGGTGCCAAATGAGGTTGTTGAGGAGGTAGGTAAGGGCAAAGAGATCGTCGTAAGAGAGGTGGAGGACGAGAAAGCAGACTTGGACGATCCGTGCATCCTATGGGTTAGTCCGAGGAAGGACAGCGGCATACGTTTCAATGTCAGGGAACGGAAGCTTCGGAGGGACGCTCCGATCCTCATCAGCACAGATGAGGATATGCCAGTTACGTATGAAATTGAGTACGACGGTAAGTCCATGCATCCTCCTTGGTGTTGCAACGCTTGCTGATGTCCGGTAGAGCTCCTCATAAGAACGTCGCATCTCCTCTTAATGCTCGAAAGGTCCATGTCACAGGAGGATAATTCATCTGGTAAAGCGGTTGTCTTCGGATCTTTCGGATAATTCAAGCAGTTCAAACAAATGCACGCCAATTTCAGAAGAGTCATGGTCTAGTTGGGTCCAGATCCTCGGTTCTTGGTGGAGTCACCCCTCCTTGGCGCAATCCGTCAACCACAACGCACCAGGGCATCAACGCATCCCCTCCCAACCAACGGCAAAAAGTATGCATTGTCCCAGGCACCCAGGGGCCCAAAAAAATGACCTCGAGGCGATTCGAACGCCTAACCTTCAGGAGGTTCCAGGAGAACTGGAATCTGACGCGCTACCATTGCGCCACGTGGCCTGATTGGATGGAAAAAATTGTGTCAAACATGCAACTTATACCCAGCATTTTGCTCCCTACACAGCAGCTTGATGAGATGGTCTGCTAATCGCGATGGCATCATACTAGTTACAAGTCTAGTCATCGAGTCCGATCCGCTGTCAGAAAGGCCACGTCTCCAATTCCAACGATCTGTATACGCTAATCCTACAACGTTCCTAGCATTACGCAACGGCTTTCTACCCCACTAGTCCTATTCCCTAGCCCAGCATCTGAAAGATCTAGACCTAGATAGTGTCTCGAGTCCACCGACTACAACTGCCCCACCAGCAAAAGCCTTGTGCCCCCATGCCATACGCACGAGGGACGTTTTGTAACTGCTTCCCTGCACCCAGAGTCGGATTAGGAACATTTCAGTTCGATCACAATTGCTATCACAGTCGAGAATAGTACCGAGGATTCGTTAGGTCAACGATAGTCTTGTAGCCTAGAATCTTCACTAACCAGCCACCCTGTGCGGCGTAAGCCGGACGAACTACGTAAACATTTCGATAACACAATTGTGCAGGGCGCCTTCACAATAACCGATTGTAAATACATCAAGAAGAGGCTAAGAAGCAGAGATTATACTAGGAAACAGTTCGTAACACAGCGAAAACTAAGTAATAGAAACCGGGAGGTTCAGATGAAATTAAGAAGAAGTTCCAGCAGTCTAATAACAGCGTCTCTTATTGTATACCAAATTTTGTGCAACTTCAAGGCTAACACCTCTACAGAACTAGCAGTCAATTTTGCCTGGCACAGCGCAGCTGACGCTTTTATACTGTCTACTCTGCTACTACACCCATCAGCAAACATAACGCCTGCCGCCGCTCATCTTGAACCTATCTTACCTAGAGGCAGCATCTACGGCAGCTACAGAGCTATCCGTTGCGGCTACAGAAGCCTAGCAACTGATGCCGCATTTGCTGCTACTGGCGAGGTACCAGACGCAACCACCGCCCGCCTGCATTCATCCCAGCTTCCTCAGCTGCCGCAACGGCTGCTACTAGGGAGGTACCAGACGCAATCACTACTTGCTTGCCTTTATCTCAGCTTCTTCAGGTGCTGCAGCGGCTGCTACTAGAGAGGTATCAGACGCAATCACCACCCGCCTGCCTTTATCTCAGCTTCCTCAGCTGCCGGATCTGCTACTTCCAGCGAGCTTTCCCCTTTGCTACCAGCACCTATCAGTTGCAACTGCGGCTACTCGTCTGCCATTACCCTAGCTTTCGCTTTTGCTACCGACACCTATCAAGCGTAACCACGGCCACTCGCTCCTACTATCACCCCAGCCTTCGCCTTTGCTACCAGCACCGATCAGACGCTACCGCGGCCGCGCGCCTGCCATTACCCCAGCTTTCCCTTTTGCTACCGGCACCGATCAGACGCTACCGCGGCCGCGCGCTCGCTCCTGCTATGCCGGCTTTAACTCGGCCACGGTTAGCTCGGACAGCGAAGAAGGCACTGTCGGCGGACATCCTGAGATATCTAGAGCCTCATGATCAGGACGAAGACCAGGATCAGAGTGAAGACCAGCATCAGGACGAAGACCAGTATCAGAGTGAAGACCGGCATCAGGAAGAAGACCAGCATCAGGAAGAAGACCAGCATCAGGACGAAGACCAGCATCAGGACGAAGACCAGTATCAGGACGAAGACCAGTATCAAGATGAAGACCAGTATCAGGACGAAGACCAATATCAAGATGAAGACCAGTATCAGGACGAAGACCAATATCAAGATGAAGACCAGTATCAGGACGAAGACCAATATCAAGATCAAGACCAGTATCAGGATCAAGACCAGCATCAGGAGCGTACACGGCACAAGCAACATGGTACAAAGAAGCGCAGGTTGGCCACCATCCAAGAGGAGGACACTTTAGGAGATGTGTGTGATTTTCAAGAGGGGTCTGATTTAGAAGATGAGTATGCCTCGCAAGATGAGTATGCCTCGCAAGAGGATCATGAAGTATGGGAGGAGCATGAGAAGCAAGAGGAGCATGAAGTATGGGAGGACCAACGGAAGCGACCTAGGAAGCGGCGTCTTTTCAGGGACCACCAGCCTCTTCAGGTCCAGACGGCTGCCCAGAAGACATCATCAGTGGAGCAGGACGAACTCGACGCAAATGGCTTTCACCTATCAGACTTTGAGGACGAGAGCGATCCGCAGACCATCGGCGCTGAGCGACTTGCATGGTCACCTGTTCACGTCCCCTTCTCCGACGATGCCTTGTTTGACATCACCCTGACTGGCGACGATGTTGTGCGCATGGTCGAAACCGCCTTTCCTGTACTCTCAACATCCAACCAAAGGATGAGAATCTTTTAGGACTCGGTAAGTCCTGTCTGTACGAAATGCATGTGAAACATATACTGACTTTGCACCTCTACCTCTGCAGCTCAACGAGCACCTCCAGAGCTCACCGCCCTTCAGCATACCTGTCCAAGAGATCAATCCGCATACCTGGCCCTTGACGAACCCTGTTATTGACAGCCTGTGGAATGAAGCAGCCGCTGCGGAGGTTGCGCTTGACATCCCCGACACGTATGGAACAATTATTGTAGCGGAACCTGCACCTCATACGTAAAAAGCTAAACAGGTCTGCAGACTACATTAACCTAAAATCTTTTAAAGTAGGTGACCTAACGTTAACGTAGGCTCTAGGCTGTTTAGCTTTTCCCTAGGTTGGTGTGCCTGCGTCTGGTCACTTCTTCCACTAGTAGATCCTTGGCCTTCTCTCTGGTCTTTGAGATGGACTAAGCCTTTCCGTTTAGGGCCTTGATAGTCAAGAGGATTTAGGTGATGATGTAGCCAGCAAGTTTGCGCTTAACGTCGTCCCTTTTGTAGTACGTCAGGGCATCTGATGGCTTTACATTATTAGCTGCCCTGACTTTCATGATGGCCTTTCGTTGCGTCTCATCAATTCCTGATGTCCTCTCTAAGGTTTTGTCTAAGGAGGCCATGTCCAGTGGAGGCCGCTTGAAATGATCGCTAAGGGTGTTGTTCTTCTTTGCGTCGAAATTCCGGAAAGCCGACATCTTAAGAATGCTGCCCGTGCTCAACTAATAGGCGTACCCGGTTGTTGAGAGGAAGTAAGGCAGGTAGAGTTTACCGAAAAGCTGGACTAGGCAGTAGTCAAATATCCGCTCACGGAATGCAAACTGCCTTTGAATGTCCGTTAGGACAGACGCGCGATTCCTCGAGAAAGCTTCGGGATGTGGGATCGCGAAGGCCAAGCGCCTTATCTTCCTAGCCTCGAACTGCAGCCAAGCTAACGGGATTTCATGCTCGAATCGTTTCTTTCCAAATGTCCACAAGACTGTATGCTCGATCTCATTCTCCTGAATGTAGGTCATGTACGCCTTGGCCGCTATTCCCCCAACGACAAGGAGGACTTTTGCCTCAGAGCAAGATATTATCTTGAAGGCATATTCCTGCCAATGTCTGCGAAGTTGAGTGGGAAGTGTTCCTGCTCGAAAGAGGGTCGCTTCACCACCCGGTACAGTCTTGCGATCTATTCGCCGGGGAAAGACGTCCACATGGAACATCGAATGCTCCCTGATATCAGCGACATGGAAACCCATCTCTGAGTACAAAAGCCACATGGAAGAGTTGGACATATCGTGGTTGGTCCCATAAGCCAAGTGCACAGTTGAGTTGACGTCAGCAGTCGGATATGAGGACAACACCATGAGAGAGTCGTTGGGGCTCCCACAGGATTTGACTAACAACCTCTCTGACATATCAAGCCATGCAAAGTCGTCTGTAGAGTCAACCTGGTGGTCAGGAGGGTGAAGAGCTTTCTCCGCATCGGTAGCTTGGCCCCAGTAGCCATCCATTGCTGTGTTTGTAGTTGGCCATGTCGTCGGATACTCCTCGCGCACTGAGATGGTGAGCGGTGGCGATGTAGACAGGTGCTCACGAGCTGACTGGTAGAAATCCGCCATGGCACTGGTTGCAAGGGCGGGATAGCCGCGTTCTACCATCCTTACGACCTCCTCGCTAGACAGCGTGGTATCCGTTAATTCTTGATCAGTAAAGGGCAGGTAAACCCATAACTCTCGTTCCGCTCTGGCAACTTCTGGGTCTTCAGCAACAGCATTATAGACATCCCATCCATGTAGTTCTTCATTGTTTGGGCGCTGTATTTCCCTAGAGTCTTCTGCATCCGAACTAACTGTGGCCTTAGATATCCTCTTTCTTTTGGCCTGTGTGACCATAGCTCCGGTAGCTCTAGCGACGGGCAAGTACGATGCGCAGCTGATGAAGAGGCAGGCGGCTTGGACCGAGGTCGATGTAACGATAGACAACAGCTTCAACCGGGTCAGTTGCTGCGGCAGCTGATGAAAAGGTAGGCGGCTTGGACTGAGGCAGATGTAAGTAAAGACAGCAGCGGCGACTTAGACTGAGGCCGTCGTGAGTAAAGACAGCAGCTTCGACTGGTGCGGTACAGCATTGACAACGGCGGACGTGGGTGCACGATATCAGTGTAAGCATAGCTGCTATTCTTCTTTTTATTCCAACGATGACTGAAATGAAAAGTCCCACCATGACATGGCTGATGAATCGGTGATGGATAGCCGTGGGTATCTAAACGTGAAATGACCTGGACGCGGCGTAATAGCCATGCGTCGTATGTCGTGTGGTGTTATCCTTATGCCTAAACGCCGAAAATTCCATATGCAAAATCTCCCTCCCTCATCCCATAATTGCTCCGTTATGCAATGCGTTTTGGCATGCTAACAGACCTTCGCCGATCCGCCTACCACCAACGCCGTAGATGTCTCATCCAGAAGACCATGTCGAGCCCTAACATGTCGAGTCTGACAATGCAGGAAACGTTTGACTCGTTAGTTATCTTGAGCGGTCTCAATCTGGGCATATTCCTGCCAGTGGCCATCAGCAGCCCTCTTCCAGGTACGAATGCTAGCGTCATCTCCAGTAGTGACTAGAAGATCACCTGTAATAATTGTTAGTTGTGACTGTGCATGTTCTTCCGGTGTGACTTACCCATCTGCGAGAACGCGACACGCCAAACCGCTCCGTGATGATTGGTAAGCTCATCGGTCATCTCTACCTTCTGCTTGATGCGACCAGGATACTGCTCGTTCTCAATGGAAGTGTCGGGGGCCTTGGAAGCTCCTGCCAGTCCAGCTCCGATACCAGATGGGGCGTTCTGTCGATGGCCTCGAGGAGAGACTGAAAGCGGAGCGGAAGACGATGCTTCTCCAGATGCAGTGTTCCTATCCTCGGTCTGCGTACGAAGCTCATAGATGCGAATAGCGCCGTCTTTGCTAGCTGTGGCCAAGATGTCGTAACCTCGCATAGAACCATTCGCCCAGGCTAGGTCTCGAATGATCTGACGAGCACCCTCTAGCTTCGCAACTTGGAAGAAGCGCTTGGCCTTGTCGGTGCGGAAGACAAGGACATCTTTCATAGCAGCAACAGCGAGGGATAGCGACTTGCGGTCAAGGCCAGCGGTGATGGCGGTCCAACAGGGTAGCTTCTCCTTGTGAAAGACGACCTTGAAGCCTACCTCCTCTTGGCGCTCGGGAGGGTTGTTCTCGGAGACCCAGCGCTCTGCCAGGATAGTCCATTCGTGGAGATTGTTCTGATCCTGGGGCTCGTACACAGTGAGATAGCCGTCGCGGGTGATGAGCGCGAGCCAGGTCTCCTGCATGATGTTCTTGAAGTCCAAAGACATGAACGGCGCGTTGGTCAATGAAGGGAGTACGTAGACCAGCTTGAAGCGGTTGCCAGACATGGCCACCTCGGTGACGTCCTCTTGCCAGATCTTGCAGCGACCATCTTCACCAATACTACCGACAACCTCGCCCATGAAGGGGCCGTTCCACTTGACCTGTACATGAAGTTAGCGACGGGTCACAAAGGTGGCAAAAAGGCATGCAGGTGACCGAAAGAAGATTTGCGGCTGAAGATTAGATAACTTACATCGACAATCTCGGCATCGTGAGCTTTCCAGCTCTCGACCAAGGTCCACGAATCGTCCTTCTTGTCCCAGACCTTGACGCGGTGATCTGAGCTTGCCGTGACCATGCGCGTGCCGAAGTAGTTGAAGTCGACAGCGAGTACGAGGTCCTGGTGGCCATGCGAGAAGGTCTGGAAGCTTCGCTCTGCAGCCATCTCAGCGTAGGCGCGATGCGCACACACAAAGGCCACCTCTAGTTGGTCGATGACGCGCTGCTCGACGCTGCCGGTGCTGCCGTCGGCGCAAGGCTCCTGAATCAGGGGAGCGATTAGATCCACGTGCTCGATCTCGTCTTCGAAAGCGGCGGCGATATTGAGATGCGGTCTCCGTGCAGGCGACCGTGCTTCCTCCTTGGTGGGGCCCAGCGAGGACGAATCGCTGACTGCAGCAGAGGGCAGACGCGACGCTGTCAAGTGCTGGAGGAAACTTCGCGACGCGAGATGACTGCTCACCGCATTCAGACCGTCCAGGAGCTCATCAGCCTTGGCTGAGCGGCTGGCTTGGTTGTGGTCCGCCATGTTGATGCCAATGTTCGTGGGTCTATCGTTTCGGGTTAGCAGAGCAGGAAGAAGCCGAAACAACACCTTGCCAGAATCTCTACTCACCAAACACCGCAACCACGACCTCGTGCAGATTGTACTGCTCTGTTCGTCTCTGGCTCACTCTGCGAGCTTGTTGGTTTCGTTGCTGGAGTCGTGGATCTGTTCACAATCTTTATCTGTCAGTCTCAAGTCCACTTCGAACGATTCACGCAGAGTCACGCTCCGGGTTCAGACAAAGAGGTGGCGATTCGGCAAAACGGCAGGTCGTGACGGCGTTGCTGTGGGGAGGTTGCGCAACCGTTGTTGATATCGTCGCGACAGCAAACGGCCGCGCGGAGTCAACAGCTACAGGCGTCCACGTGCCAAGATCCGCCGTCACCTCGACATCAGACACTATCACTGTCACCATGGCGAGCGCGCTATCATCAACAGAATCAATTTCACTGCTCTCCTTGTCGCTCGCATGTGTCGGTGTGCTGGCCAACACGCTTCACGGTGACGGTGAGCCGCTTGTTGCGTCGATAGCGCTCAGTGGTCTGGCCTTTGCATTCTGTTATGCTTTGATACGATGGCTTGGGGATGCCTTTGCGAAGCGTGGCTTCAAAGGGAAGGATCTATGTAAGCTGAAGCAGATTGAAATGTAAGTGTCAAGTGTACTGTACATGAAAACGATTTACTGACAGGGATAGCCCAGAGATGATGGGCGCGGTCTGTGCTATGGTGTATCTTTTCATCTTGATCTTCTTCATACCATGGCCGTTCTACAAAGACATTGTAGTCGCAACATCAGGCGGCGGTAACCGGGACACGATCAAGGAACTGGAGCTGATTGAGACCGGGAGGCTACTACACAGGTTTCCTCACAACAAGCTTGCGTCCTATCTGTCGGCCATACTTTCCCTCCAGTCTATCGTACTGCTCGGTATTGGTGACGACCTGTTCGACATAAGATGGCGACACAAGGTGCTCATTCCAGCCTTTGCAGTTATTCCCATGCTCGTGGTTTACTTTGTCGACTTTGGTGTGACGCAGATGGTCGTCCCACTACCACTCAGGCCTTACCTTGGCGAGCTCTTTGACCTGGGTATGTACTTGCATCGATAGCTGTTTCTAGATTGCCCATTAACATACGTTCAGGCTGGCTTTACTACGTCTACATGGCGCTGATGTCCATCTTCTCCTCGAATAGCATTAACATCTTGGCGGGCATCAACGGCATCGAGGTGGCCCAGTCTATAGTCATTGCAGTCCTGATTGTCGGCAATGATATGCTGTATCTCTCACCATTTACGACGTACCCACATCCAGCGACGGATTCGCATCTGTTTTCGCTGTATCTGCTACTGCCGTTTATCGGTGTCTCGATGGCGTTACTGATGCACAACTGGTATCCAGCAAAGGTGTTTGTGGGCGACACTTACTGTTACTTTGCAGGCATGGTCTTCGCCGTAGTGGCCATCCTCGGTCACTTCAGCAAAACGCTCATGTTGCTACTCCTACCGCAAGCGTTCAACTTTGTCTACTCGGCACCCCAACTGTTCCACATCGTACCATGTCCCCGACATCGGCTTCCGCACTTCAACGCACGGACTGGTTTACTGGAGCCCTCGCGCGTCGAATTCACCAAACCACTACGACGACCGATAGCGGAGAGCCTCAAGGTGCTGCACCGGCTTCGGATGCTCGATGTTGAGACGGATGGGAAAGGGCAGGTGGTCTCGTCGAGCAACTTTACACTAATCAACTTGTGGTTAGTATGGTTCGGTCCCATGCGGGAGGACCGCCTAGCTATGGGTTTGCTCGCGTTCCAGTTCGCGATTGGACTTGTAGGACTATTTGTGCGGCATCGCATGGCATTGCTTATCTTTACAGCGGACAACTTGTAGATGTGTGGGTATGCATATAGACGGTGGGTGTACTATAGTATCGTGGAACATGTAAATTACTGGGAGGATGGCTGGAGCGCATATGCTACAAGGGACCTGCCGGGAGTTTCGGCGTATTGTATTCACCCCGCGTTGACAGAAGCGATACTGGGTGGGAATAGCGATACAGTCGAAGGATCGCGGTCGGACGAGGTAGCTCGCTTGCTTATCAACGGCTATTGTTTTCTTCTTCAAACACAGTAAATTGCTTCTGCACTTGGGCTACTGTCATGTCCATTCCAGCCTCACGAAGCGTGGGTGAACATGTGGGCTGGCCAGGGCCTCGTCAGCTGTCGTCGCAACATGCTCGTCCAGTGTCAAATCGGAACGTTGGTAGACTTGCTGACGCTGCAGACGGCGGCCGGGAGGCGGTGCAGTGGGGCAGGCGCAGTGCGGGGCAGGAGCGACCTCTCGACACGTGAATGTCGTCATTGGTTGCGGAAACAGTACCTAGAGGAGCGCTCGCAGCGCCAGAGGCGATGCGCGACAAGGTTGCCTGCATGTTATATCGCCCAAGAGCGCTATCACCGCCTGGCACCTACCAGATGTGAAGTATAGCAGCCCGACAGCGGTGGAGGCCGAGGCGGACCGTCATCATTCGCGGCGTGATTGGCGGCTGTGCCCCTCTTACCATCGACTCCGAACATCGGCCGGCATCTTTTTGTGCCTCGTTCGCCTTCCATGGATTTGAGTTCCACACGCGCCTCATTTAAGCCGATACCTGCCCTGGCCGAGCACGTCTCACTTTCTTGATCTCCAACTCTATTTTCCTGCACCCATTTTGGACTGGTTGTGCAACTTCTACCTCACATATCCAATATGCCGTCTGCTGTGAAACCGCCGCAGACCCTGTACGACAAGGTCTTCGAGGACCACATCGTCGAAGAGAAGGAAGATGGCACAATCCTGCTCTATATTGGTATGACATGCGCTGTGTAGCCATTGTTTCTTACTGACAGCTGCACAGACAGGCATCTTGTCCATGAAGTGACATCACCAGTAGGCAGACCTCCGAATCCGTCCTGCCTTTCCATAGACTCACACAACTACAGCAAGCTTTTGAAGGCCTCCGAAATGCCGGCCGCCGAGTGCGAAGACCGGACTGCACCCTCGCGACAGTCGATCACGTATGTGTTGCATCTTGCAGAATCCAGCAGCAGCTAACGGTAGCAGAACATCCCCACCGCGTCGCGGAAAAACCTCACTACGACCGAGAAATTCATCGAAGAGACCGACTCGCGATTACAATGCATGACTCTCGAGGAGAACGTCAAGGCCTTCGACCTCACTTACTTCGGCCTCGACGACAAGAGGCAGGGTATTGTGCACATCATCGGACCCGAACAGGGCTTCACGCTCCCCGGTACCACCGTCGTATGCGGTGACAGCCACACATCCACACATGGCGCTTTCGGTGCCCTGGCCTTTGGTATCGGTACCAGCGAGGTCGAACACGTTCTGGCCACACAGACCATCATCACACAACGGAGCAAGAACATGAAAGTTCAGGTTGAGGGCGAGCTAGGACCTGGCGTTGGCAGCAAGGACATCATCCTGCACGTCATCGGCAAGATTGGCACGGCCGGAGGAACAGGTGCCGTCATCGAATTCTGCGGCTCGGCTATCCGCGGCTTGAGCATGGAGGCGCGCATGTCGATATGCAACATGTCAATCGAGGGTGGCGCAAGAGCCGGTATGATCGCGCCTGATCAAATTACTATCGACTATCTCAAAGGAAAGCCTCTAGCACCCAAGGTTGACAGCCCGGAGTGGAAGAAGGCATGCAGTTACTGGCTGGGTCTCAAGTCAGACGAGGGCGCCAAATACGACATTGAGGTTCTGATCGACGCGAAGGACATCGCCCCAACTGTATCTTGGGGTACTTCACCTCAGGATGTCATCCCGATTACTGGCGTTGTACCTGGACCTGACGACTTCCAAGACGAGGTCAAGAAGCTGGCATGCGAACGCGCTCTGAAGTACATGGGTCTGACTGCCGGCACCCCAATGCAGGAGATCCCACTTGACAAGATTTTCATCGGATCTTGCACGAACGCCCGCATTGAGGACCTGCGCTCAGCTGCTCAAATCGTTGAGGGCAAGAAGGTGGCTTCCAACATCAAGCGGGCCATGATTGTGCCCGGTTCTGGCCTGGTTAAGAAGCAGGCTGAGGCAGAAGGTCTTGACAAGATCTTCAGTGATGCCGGATTTGAGTGGAGAGAAGCTGGATGCTCGATGTGCTTGGGCATGAACCCCGACATTCTTTCTCCCGGTGAGCGATGTGCTTCGACCTCGAACAGAAACTTCGAGGGCCGACAAGGTGCTGGTGGCCGAACCCATCTCATGTCACCCGCGATGGCTGCTGCCGCTGCCATTGTAGGAAACCTGGCGGATGTACGGAAACTGGCGCCACAAACGTCTGGACAAGCCAAGGGCTCACCGAAGATTGAGTTGGACGCGCAAGTCGAGCCCCCTAGCAGCGACGAAGAGCTTGAAAAGATCATGGATCTTCCTAGCTCCGGACCTCAACACACTAGCTCAAATACTGGAAGTACAGGCGGTGCCTCAGCCGGCATGCCTAAGTTCGAGACCCTCCGCGGAATCGCAGCACCTATGGACGTAGCGAACATTGATACCGATGCTATCATCCCCAAGCAGTTCCTCAAGACCATCAAGCGCTCTGGTCTTGGTAGTGCTCTCTTCCACGCATGGCGCTTCGAGGCCGGTAGTAACAAAGAGGACCCATCTTTCGTACTGAACAAGGAACCTTACCGCAACTCAAAGATCCTGGTCTGCACTGGTCCCAACTTTGGCTGCGGCTCAAGTCGTGAACACGCACCCTGGGCGCTCCTCGACTTCGGCATCAAGTGTATCATCGCCCCCTCCTTTGGCGATATCTTCTTCAACAACACGTTCAAGAACGGTATGCTCCCCATCCGAATTACCGACACCGCTGTCCTACAACGCGTCGCCGACGAGGCAAACGCTGGCAAGGAGATTGAGGTCGACCTCCCCAACCAAGTCATCCGCTCTGCCGATGGAACCGAACTTGCAAAGTTTGATGTCGAGGAGTTCAGGAAACACTGCCTTGTCAACGGACTGGATGATATTGGTCTGACCATGGCCAACGTTGACAAGATTGAGAAGCATGAGCAGAAGCGCACAGCTGTCTGGCCTTGGCTGGATGGAAGTGGCTTCCTGAAGAGACATGGACGCGGACCAGTCAAGGTGCAGGCGCAACCTGTGCCAAAGACCAACCGGGGAGAGGAGATCACCGAACCACTGGAGTGGTAGAAGGTAGATTACGATGGTAAAAGTCGGACTTTAGTCAATCTCTTTGGAGTTTTGTATAATCTGGCGAGCGGCTGCTCTGCGGACTTTGGATTAGGGTGTTTATGTTGGGACCAAGATATCATGTGAAATGAAATGCCATATATGAATGATCTAGTTTTCGCACCTGACTGCACTGCGCCTGAGCAATGCTTTGGTTTCGGTAGTATGCTTTGATGTGTTCTTTTGCCCAAGTATTGCGCGAAACCAGCTTTTGAGGTATATCGCACTTCGCAGACCATGCATAACGCATCAACGCCAGAACACCCAAGACCCCAAGATAGAGTTCCGTCTCATATCGATACAAATCCCCCTTTGAACAAGGCGCATGAGAGATTGTGTCCTACCGACCCTGCTGTCCAGCCAGTCCCGGTCCGTCTCTCGTCCAGCCGCTCTTTCGCATGCCCTCTTCAATCCTGCCCCAGATCCTCTCCACAACCTCTCTGTCCCTCCATCTGCCCTTTTCGCTGCCTGTCCACTTGTCCACACCCACGGGTAGCACACCCCTGCCCAATTGCTTCACCGTCTCTGGCGGCTCTTCCGAACTCCAGCCAACGAATATACCCGGGTAGTTTGCAAACAACTCTGCGGGCTGTGTGTATTTGTAGCTCTTGAACTGCCAGAGCTGGCCAGTAGTGAAGATGGCGACCACACGGCCCCAGTATGTAGGCTTGAAACTGGCGGTGGAATCGACGCAGATGAAAGTCAGGGGTTGTGAGGAGATGGACGGGAGGAGGCGCTGAATTTGAATCATATTCGCGGAGGCGGATGTGCTGGACGAGTCTGTGGTGTTTGGTGGGACGAAGACGCCGTCGCTAAGGAATGTCTTTGCGTTCGAGGTGCGCAGGAGGGAGGAGGCGGATGGGGAGAGGAGGATGATGGGTTGTAGACGGCGTTGAGGTCGTTTCTGGAGATTGGCAACAAGGGCGGGCTGGGGAGCGGGTAGCTTGTTGGCATCGGGGCGTGAGCGGAGGAATGTGCTGGCGATCTTGCGGTAAGGCGAGAAGTCCTAGGAAGTGTCAGTCTGTTGTAGCATTGAAATGAGGGAGCTGGTGATCACGTACGACATTCTTGGATCCCCTCAAGACGCTGTTGTGGTCTCCCATCTTCCTCTCTCCGTCGTAGATCTGCAGTAACCGCGCATCCACCATCTTGCCTGCTGATCCTACTTTGGCGCCCCTTCCTCCATCGACTGGGACGCCCTTGCCGCCTGCAATAGCCGCCGCATCACCGGCGGCTGCACTGAGCGCGCCCCCATCTATAGCAGCGATGCTATCACTGCTCTCCGTCTCTCCACTCAACCAAGCGATGAGCTCAATCTTCTGCGCAAAGGTGAGATTCTGCACGCTGCCTCCCGCGCCGCTCGGCAGCTCCTCGTTGAGCGTCTGGACAGCGGCGAAGTAGTCGGTGACGGAGGCGTCCTTGTTCAGCCACGCGAAGTAGCAGCTGCGCAAGTCAACCGCCTTGCCGTCTGGCGCAAACCGCGTCGGAGTGCTCAGCGCAAACACCCGGTGGTCGCCCGAATCGGTATTGAAGGAGACATGTGTCGCGACGGCGAGATCTGCGACAGTATCGGCAGGTGTGGGTTCGGCGCTCGTGGTCAGGATCGGTGTTGCGCTGGCCTTGATGCTCAGGCGGAGGTTGTAGAGCGCATCTGCGACTTCGGCTTCTGCTGCGGCCATTCTGGGGTGATTGGCGCGTCGTGCGCGTGTGGGAGAGGTTGAGGACTGGGGGGTTGCGGTTTTCTGGCGTTGGAGGTGAAGCTTGATGCAGGTCGCGACTATGCGCATGTACTTTTGGGGAAGGATGCCGGGGTTTCTCCGATTGGAACGTGCCTCGGGCTTCCAACGCCTGCTTCACCCTCGCCAACAACATCTCTCACACTCGGGCCACATTATCCCATCATTCCCTCTAATACTACTGCTTACCGATTAGAAGGGGGTCGATAGCGAAACTCGTCAAGACGAAGCCTTTGCTCAATTGTGAGTTGGAGCAGACGCATGCGGTTAATGACTTGCACGCCCAACTAAAGCCCACTCTACAGACGACGTTGATGTTGGCTCAGACCCTCTGTAAGTGATGAGAACTGCTTTTACCTCCAGGGTAAGGCATGTTCTGCGTTACAATCAATACGAACTGAACGTCTCCATTACGCAACCTTGAGGGCATGCTTGAGAAGCAACACTGCATTAGGAAGGAAAGATGAAAGTAATTTGTTCTCATCATTACAGGATATTCACGTGTATGCAATAGAACCCGCTATCGCCGTCATCTATCATCCGCCGCCCATCAATTCACCACTTCCCAAACCCCTCCACCGAAGATTCCCGAGTTTCTACTGCACCAACACGCCGAAGTGACATTGACACCGACACATAATCGGGCAACCTTTCGTTAATGCACAAGGCAGCGCGAGCCGGATTCCCAGAAACTCATCGCCGTTCCCGAGCCCCCACTGCAGTAAGGTGCGCCGTGACGGTGACCGCCAGCCATCTCAGAACCCGAAGTCGCTGGAGTGACATCGTACCGACACATGTTCGGGTGACCTTCCATTAAGGCACAAGGCCATGCTGCTCGCGTCTGAGGGGCCGTTGGTCGGACGGGCGACTGCAGCTAGGGCTGATGGAACTCGGTGAGCACATGAAGAAGATGAGAACTTGATCTGCATGTTGTCAGTGAGGTATATTGGAGCAAAGGGAAGCTGACTTACGTTTTGCTACTAGCTACCGGCGAAGGCCATATTCTTGTAGGTTCGAGTGAGTGCAGGTGACGACCGTGAGTGTCGAAAGTGATGTCGACGGAGATAAGGAAGTGATGCCGACCAAAATGAGGTGGATATCCGCGGCCGATATGTGCAAGTAGGAAGCTGCTGTTATTGAGATCTTGTTGATCGAGTGGCGACTTCAGCGAAAGACGACGATGGTGAATGTAACGGTCTGTTGCTCGCTGGTTTGGAAGTTGTCGCAGTACTCGCTTGCTGTTGGTAAAAGCTGAACTCACTTCCGAACGTTAGCAACACAAAACCGGGGGAGAAGCTGATATACTTGTAGCTGCTGACGGGGCGATTGGAATCTCATCCCGGGGTGAGCAAGGGGAGTACCGCTGAAGCTTGCGCAGTAGTAGCGAAGTGAGAATTGATTGCGGTCATGGTGTTTGAGGGATCATGACAAAACAAAAGTGTTTCTGAACTCGAGGAATTGAGGACAGTGTGTGATAGAAGTGATGGGGATTGGGCGGGCAGCGTTGTTTATATAGCCAACTCAGCAGCGCTCGCCTTGCTGTCACATGTCACCCAAAATAGACCCTGATTGCCCAGGCGTCGTAAACCGCGCACGCGAAAAGTGGGGCTTACGTTAGTGCTCGCAATTCCCAGACAGGTTCTCATAGTAAATAGGTGAGTTCGGGTCTTCGTCTGGCCTGCCGACGACAGCCGCTGGGACCTCGTAAAAAGGGTTGCCTAACACTAGCGTTCGAGCTCAAATTACATTGCGTCATGGCTTCGTCTTCCTGGCATGGGGGAGGTGAAGGTGAAGGTGAGGGTCGATGAGGCAACTTGTTCTCACGTACTAGTGTGCGACTACCTATCCATACATGTGTTGGCTGTATACACTGTAACAAGAATTTTACTCTTATAGCTGTAGAGAACCGCGACAATCTACTAAACTTTGCATGACGGATGTGTCGTGAAAGACTAAAGTCCACGTTTACACCAGAGTGCACCACACTCATCGAGCAAAAGGTTGCTGGGTCAATTTTGGGGTACGAATTAATGAGATCAGTATGAGAATATATCGTGTGTTCAAAGGCAAATGTCAGATGTGAAAGTTATACATTATCATAACTATATCATTAAACTAAAAGTAGATGCTAATCTCTTCTTTGGATGTAGCTATCTACTGTCCAACAACAGTAAAGCTGTCCTGGACCTTCAGGTCTCGGCTGCTCAGTCCGACCCAGATGGTGAACTCGCCCTCGGGAATGACCCACTGCTGGCTGACAATATCCCAGTAGCTCAGATCCCTGCGCTGAAGCTCAAAGCTCACGGTCTCCTTGTCGCCCTTCTCAAGGTATACCTTCTCGAAGCCGCGGAGCTGGCGGATAGGCGTACCGGCTGGGGCGGAAGAGGGAAGGCCGACGTAGAGCTGGGGAACGGTGGCACCGGCACAGTCACCGGTGTTGGCGACAGATACAGTGACGTTGTAGAGAGACTCCCACAGAGCGGGGTTGCCACCGGGCTGGATGGGCAGCTGCTCGGGCATGGATGTGATGTTGTGCTCCAGAGGGGAAGACTCGATGTCGGAGATCTCAAATGTGGTGTATGAGAGACCGAAACCGAACTCGTAACGGACAGACATGTTCTGGAGATCGAAGTGGCGGTAGTCAATCTCGAGCTTCTCGTCGAACCAGCTCTGCCAGTCGGCAAATCCGGTGGTGTTGATGGCGGTGGTGGGAGGCGCATTCCAGTCATCACCGTTCTCGGCAATGGTGTAAGGAAGGTGACCAGAGGGGTTTACGTGTCCGTACAGGATGTCAACGAGCGAGTTTCCAGACTCTTGGCCGGGGAAATGGGCAGCCAGGATAGCGGTAACGTTGGGGTGGTCAGCCCATGGCAAAGTGTTGACACCGGCAGAGTGGGTAACAACGACAGTGTTGTTGCAGTAAGAAGCGACAGACTCGACAACATCGTCACCCTCCCAGTCAGATCCCAGGTGGGCACGGTCATCGCCTTCCTCAGCCCAAGTCTTGAGCATAACAATGCAAACTTCGGGGACAGCGCGGGGAATGACAAGGGTGCTGACATTGTTGGCGATGATGTGAGTGTTGTTGAGGAAGAACTGAGTGATACCGCCATCCGCGGCGACACGGTTCTGAATGGCACGGAGAGGGGTGACCATGTAGGTGAACTGGCCGGTACCTGAGCCACCGCCAGCGAGAATGCTACCGTATTCGTAGTTCTGCTGGTTGATGACAGAGCTGCGTGCTGGGTCGCCTGCGTCGTTACCGAAGATAGCGACGTTCTGGGGAGCCTTGAGAGGCAGAGTGCGGTCGACGTTCTTGAGGAGGACGCTGCCAGCGGCACCATGGCGGCGGATAAGCTCGCCGTGGTTGCCACGGACATCACGGCTGACTTCGCCGGTGAGATTGTACTCGCGGGTCCATGTGCTACGGGGCGAGAAGGTGTTCAGATCAGCGCCTGAGGGGTCAGCCGAGGGGAAGTCTTGGTCTTGGCCGAGTTGGAAGTAAGGAGTCATGATGCGCATGACCATGTCGTCGATGCGGGAAACATCAACGGTGCCGTTGTTGACAGCAGCAGTGACGTTGCCGCCAAAGTATGAAGGGAGGCCAAAGTTCAGACCGTAGGCACCAAGTCCACCGGGCATGTTCATGTCCAGACCGGCCTCGATGGAGGCAACACCAGAGTGAGTGGCACCCCAGTCAGACATGATGTAGCCCTGGAAGCCAAGCTCAGTCTTAAGCAGACCGTTCTGCGAGGCGGAGTTCTGGCATCCGTAAGAGCCGTTGATGCGCTGGTAAGAGCACATGAAGCTGGCAGCGCGGGCCTTGGCAGCATTGGCAAAGGGCCACATGTAAAGCTCGTGCATGGTGCGGTCGTCGATGTTGGAAGAGAGAGCCGCCGTCGTCTGCTCGGTGTTGTCGTTCTCGTCTTCGTAAAGCGGGTTTCGCATGATCTCTTGCTCATTGCCAATCCAGTGCTTTGCGCAGGCTTGCACACCGGCATCCTGGATACCGTTGATGGTCTTCTCCATTGCCACACCACTGAGGTAAGGGTCAGAGGAGAATCCCTCCCAGTTACGGCCTGCATAGGCGGAACGTCCGAGAGGACCAGCGACGGGACCCAAGAAGACCTGAGAGCCCTTGGCCTTGAACTCTGCGCCCATGGCATGACCACGCTCGTACATGATGTCCTTGTCCCATGTCGCTCCGGCAGAGACACCAGCGGAGAAGACGCTGGCGTAGTCTGCAACACGAATTCCAAGAGGACCATCCTGAAGACACAGACCGGGGAAGCCAAGACGAGGGATAGCAACAATGTTGCCAACGCAAGGTCCGGCTTGACCAGTGACCATGTCAGCCTTCTCCTCAAGTGTGAGCTGGGCTACGAAAGCTTTCGCCTTCTCAAGACCCATCTCCCAGCCACCAGCGCCGGTGATGTTTGCTGCAGAGCATTAGATTGGTCACGAGCGAGGTTGGTGATGTAGGATAACTTACGCGACGGGTAGACAGCTGGTGAGGAGCCATACTCGGTCAAGATGGTGGTGTTGAGCGGCTGTACGTACTCAAACGCATCTTCATCGCGGCCACCGCCTTCGAAGTTCTGAGCATTGACTGCTGCCAGGAGGACAGAGCCCGAAAGTACGGCCGAGACAAGGGAAGGTGCCATGATTCTGGATTGTCGAAGGTGAATCGAGTGCCTTGATGACCATCATCTTTGTGCACAGCAGTACTTATATACTGCTCTTCTCTCGGCGCATGCTCGTCCGCCCGGTGGCAGTCCTCGTCCCGATCAAAAGGCTAGAAGCCGATGTGGCAGCCACCACCATGTCCCGAAGTTTGCCCGTGCGGGTTGCGGAGTCTCCACATCTCCGTACCATACCAGTGTTGTCCTGGTATTAAGGCGCACGACGTCATCTCAAGGCTGCGTAGCGGTTGCCAAGCGGGCGGTCGGACGTGTGCATGCGCGTCGGCAGATGGTTGTGGAGTAGAAAACGAAGAGGTCGGAGCCGGGAACATTGACTCGCGATGATTTGCGGGGATCGTGAGGTTGGCTCATGACTCGCGACTGAGAGTCGCCTTGCATTGCTGCTGCAGTCGAACTGGCAGGGTTAGCTTCCTGGGGACGAATCCTGGATGATGCTGCTACTGCGTACATCCACGTGCCGTGAACCACAGCTCTGGTACTGGCAGTTTGATCGAACAACGTTCCACGAAACAATCTCCGCAGAATACCGGTACACCTTCCATCACGACTCGCGCGTATGGGGAAGTGCGCGAAATACGACAGTACACGACTAAGCTCCACGCCTCCAAGCTTGTCTGTTTATCCTAAAGCGGGGCGAGATCTTGGATTTTGTGTGTTGCCGACGAAAAGTCCCGAGAGGCATCGGTAGGCATCGTCACGAGGCTCATGGGTAACAGAAATTTTCGGTGCATGGAGCAAGCGTCGGACCCAGTGGAGGTATTCGGTAGGCGCTAAGCCAGCAGAAGGAATGCACCCTTGGGAACCCCAGCATCGTGACATGGCGATCGCTCCGGAGCTCCACAAGTCACTTCCCCGCAAACGTCCTGGGCCGAAGTTGTGCCTCAAGTCGGGCTTAGATCGTCAGGTCGAGTTGTTGACAGGATAAAAACCTCGCATCGCGGTTGCCGAGAGCCGTTCATAGGTGCGGATGCTGCATTGCAATTGCCCAGGTCTACGGGTGTGTCCATGTAGGGTGCACTACATACGTAACGGTGCAGGAGTTGATGACCCAGCGGGAGGCTCTGGGCCTAGAATACGAAGTACGAACTGGTTGAGTGTGTATGAAGCTGGGCTCCGAGTACCAGGATGAGAACGTGACTTGGATTCGTAAGTGTGCGCAGATGGATAACCGGGCATCCATACAGGGAATGTCCTTCCCTTCAGCAGTGACACGAACTGGTCAGGGCTTGCACTCATGACTTCTCGGTAATTTACGAGATTTGACATTCGATAGCTTTGTACTTGACAGTTACTGGTACCCAGGTTCTGTTTTCAAGCTGCGCTGAGTCAAGAGTGTCCCTGCTTAGCAGAAAGTAGCAATGGCTATCCTTGCACAAGACCCTAGTGTAGTTGCGACATCACGATAGAATGACAAGGGAACTCTGGGTTCCACGAATGTTTGTTCGACTTCGCCTTGCATCTGCATGTCTTTCGTCCCTGATGGCATGCTTGCCTTCCACCTGGGTACAGGGTAGACTTTGGATTTCCAAACAGATTGATCAACTACAACGATCGGAACAATACCTTCTCAATGTGTCTGAACCAAAAACAGCTATATGGGGACTGGAGTAGAGAACGGAAAAGAGTTGTCTTATGCTCAATTCGTTACACGAAAGTCGCTGCTCTCGTCGTCTCGATTGATGATGTGTAATGGCTGAGACGACTAATCTAGAAGCCAAGGTGAGGGCGATATTGCTCTTGATAATTTGTGTCTGCTCACGAATATTAACAGGCTCAATGTCGGTTTGCGGATAGTATAGGTCTGCGTCGACTGCTCCAGCCGTCCTCGGAACTGAAAGCTTGAATACATGCGCCTGAACATAGCTAGGAACAAGTGTAAACATCAAGCACTGTCGGAAATATACCGCAACACTCCCAAATACGATCAATAAGTAATGCGTGAGAGGCGTACCAAGTCTTCATCGTGCCGGCAGACTTGTGTTCTCTGGTTGAATATTTGGTGTCGCGCCAGGAACGACGATTGACCAAATCAAAAGCTGTGCCGTCGCGGTGCCTCGGCTAACTGCGGTCTATCAGCGATGAGGTCGCCAAACACGCCGCGCACAACGTCGACGCTACAGCTCCAGACTTGAATACCTCTGGGCGAAAAGACTACAGAACCATTGCAGTCGCACAAAAACATCTTAGATACGATCGAAATGCCGCTCCTCCGCCTCAACCCCCGCGTCCTACACCGCGCCGTTGGAATTCGCGGCTATGCAACTGCCCAAGCCCCGGCTATAAACGTCACAAATGTCCCAGCACCACACTGCGGAAGCATACGAATACTCTCGCTCAACCGGCCCGCGGCACGCAATGCGATATCACGGCAACTGCTCACAGAGCTGACGCAACAAGTGAACAGCCTACACAATGAGGGGGACACTGGATCAACGCGGGCGTTGATATTGGCGAGCGATATAGAGACCAGTTTCTGCGCGGGCGCGGACCTCAAGGAAAGGGCTGCGTTTACCCAGGAGGAGTATGTCTAGGTTCTACGATGGTCACATGAGACGAGCGACGGCTAACAGATGGCAGTACATCCAACTTTCTCACAACACTGCGCGGAACATTCGCGTCGATTTCGCAATTACCCATCCCCACAATCTCTGCTTTAGCAGCACCGGCTTTCGGTGGCGGTCTCGAGCTAGCTCTCACCACACACATGCGCGTCTTCGCCTCTACCACGACCGTCGCCCTCCCCGAGACGCGTCTCGCCATCCTTCCTGGCGCGGGAGGAACATATCGTCTGCCTGCTTTGATCGGCCTCTCACGCGCACGAGACATGATCTTGACAGGCCGCCGTGTTGCAGCGCCAGAAGCCTATTTTCTGGGGTTATGCGACCGGTTAGTAGAGATCACGGCAGAGGATGTGCAACAAGAAGGGGCTGCGCGGAAGAAGGTCCTGAACGAAGCGATTAGACTGGCGAGGGAAATATGTGAAGGTGGACCGATAGCGATCAAGGCCGCGCTTCAAGCGGTTGAAGGATGCGCGTTGGGCGAGAAGGCTGAGAATGCTGCATACGAGCTTGTAGTCAGGACAAAGGATAGGGATGAGGCGCTTGTCGCGTTCAAGGAGAAGAGAAAACCCGTGTTCAAGGGAGAATAATCGAATGTTAGTAGCGCTGGTCAAGTGCTGAGAGATGCGCCTCTGGCCTGAGTCAACATGCTTCATTGATGCCCTGTACGAGTGCGATACACGCTGCTTCACATCTTGCTCTTGATCTCCTCCAGCAGCTTGCTCAATTCGCTCTTGTCCGCTTCCTTAGTTGGCCACTCAATCCCGAGACCCTCCTGTTGGTTCGGCTTTGGGATTAGGTGGAAGTGTACGTGATCCACGACCTGGTGGGCAATCCTTCCATTGTTCTGTAGGATGTTGTAGTCTTGGATGTTCTGCGCGATAGCAATTCGCTTCGTGACGGAGAGGACTTCGGCGAGCTGGTCGTCGGGAATGTCGTGGAGCTTTGCGCCGTGGTGTTTGGGGATGATCAGCTAGGCGGCACGTTAGTTTTGGCTGGTTGATACTGGAGGGACTAGAAAGCATACAGAGTGGCCTTTGCTCAAAGGACCGATGTCAAGGAAAGCAAGTGTCTTCTCGCTCTCGAAGATCTTCATCGAAGGGATCTCGCCTGGTCCTTCTGTGAGCCATTGTCGATTGAGAGAATAGCCAAGCTAAGAGGTTGTTACCCTTGATGATCTTGCAGAAGATGCATGCAGCGGAGGACATTGTGGTACTCGTAGAATGGATAGTTGGTTGGTTGGTACGGGTCTGGTTGGTGAATGAAGATGACGCAGCGAGCTTATGCTTTGAGAGCGAAGTGGGGTTGACCGAGGGACATGTGGGGTAGCTGTTTAGCGGGACGGTTCCGCCGTGCTTCACATGTATATTCCAATCACGATCGTATGCTCATGAACACTACTGCACTGGTTGTAGAAGCATTCATCCTCTCAAGTATAGCTACCCTATGTTCTCGCGGGTCATGACTTTGCCCACTTCCACGATGGGCACTCAAAGTTCGCATAGCATCTAAACTCGTTGCTCAGTCCTTTGGCGTGCTTGATCTCGTAATCAGTCGTCTTGGTTCCTACTTTCCCGTATAGTTTGTCTGTAACCAGGCTTTCCATACGCTCGCCAGTGCAGACAATGAGACGCAGTGAATCTTGCGTCCATGACTTCGCTAGCCATCGCACGGTCAAAGCAGCTATGTTGTGTTAGCGACATCGAACCTACGGTTGTTGGAGACATATCATGAAAGTACCTTTAGTTTGACAATCTTGACTTAGAAATGGCGGGTCGCAAATGATGACATCGAATGAGGCCTTCATCTCAGCTGGTAGTTGGATCGCCTTCTCGAAGTCGTAGCGCACGAACTCTTTGAAGACGGCAAAGCGCTCGTCAAACTCCAGCAATTTGATCTGCGGCCGGCACTTGACTTCACCCGAGTTCTAACGAAGTCAGCTTTTCTCCTCTTGCGCTTCCAGATCACTTACCAGTAGATTTTTCAACTGGATGAAAGCACTCGGCGCAGACACGACTGCTATCCTTGTCTCATCTGTCGCACCATCCAGAAGCTGTCGCGCAAGCACCATAGCGGTCTCGTCGCTATACCAAAATTGACTTGCATTCCAGTCTTCCGTGAAGGCGTCCATGGACAACTTCCCTTCGAAGTCATCCTCGGCTTGGCCTTTTAGTTCTTCAAACTGCTTTTGTCGTGCATCCCGCTCGCCATAAAATTCTTTCAGCGCGGCAAGAGCATCGCCGGAGAGCTGTCTTCATCTGTTAGCATCTGGGCTGCGATCAGCTAGTAAGACCTACGGCATCTCATCGTCGTCTTCGATTGGCGCCATGTTGAGTTTGGCCCAAGGCAGGTTGCCGCACAGTGTACCTGAAAAGTGATAGTTTGGTTGCGTCGTATCCCACTATCGATAACAATGTGCCTCGGCTGTGCTGGTCCAGCTGTAACCTGAGGGAGCGACCATGCGCCCGCGATTGCGATGGCCGTCAGCTACCTCTAGCACACGCGCACTCTACTCAAAGATGGCAGAATCTTTGGTATCGCTTCCAGAGGTTGAGCAGGTCAGCGATCGGGTTATCAGGGTTCTGAGCGGCAACCCCAGCAAGGTGAGCGCCGTTATCATCTAAGGGACGGCGCGATCTGACAAAGCTCAAGTTCACGCTGCAAGGTACATGCGGTTGCAATATTACGGTCAATATGTTCTAAGTAAATTAGGCACGAACACGTACATAGTTGGTCGTGGCGCATCACGACTGCTCATTGACACTGGCGAAGGCAAACCACAATGGATTGCCTCGATCAAAGCGCTCCTTTCAAAGGAGAACATCGCCATCGATAAAGTGCTATTGACGCACTGGCACCACGATCATATCCAAGGCGTCCCCGACCTACTCGCGCACTCTCCCGACACGAAGGTCTACAAGAACGATCCGCGCGACGACTGGCTCGCGATAAGTGATGGGCAGAAGTTCGAGACGGAAGGCGCAACCCTACGTGCCTTCTTCTGCCCGGGACATACCACAGACCACACAGCTTTCGTGTTGGAGGAAGAAGATGCCATGTTCACGGCGGACAACGTATTGGGTCAGGGCACAGCCGTATTCGAAGATCTGGCAGCGTACATGAAGAGCCTCGACGCCATGTCGACGCAGTTTAGAGGTCGCGCATATCCCGGTCATGGGCCTGTCATCGAAGATGGCCCATCAAAAATCACTGAGTATATAAAACACCGCAAGCAGCGTGAGAAACAGGTGTTGGATGTACTTGCGGAGAGTCAAGGCATGGGTTCTATGGATATTGTGAAGGTAATATACAAGGAGTACCCTGAGAATCTCTGGGAACCGGCGGAGAGGGGGATACGCCAGATTCTCGACAAGCTGAAGCAGGAGGGCAAGGTGGGCGGTGACAAACTGTGGGTACTTAGTGGGAAGAGTAGTACTTAGATGTTCCAATGACACATAGTTTGACATGGCTAAATTCTGATAAGCGCCCAAGTGACTTAACTGCGCCCCACCACGCCCAAGTTCATGTACGAAGACCCAAATCATTCCGCAGTGCGAACCTAGCACAACTCATCCTAATCATAGATGCATCAAATGCAAAATTCCTTATCAAACCATCAGTCGCGGTGCCAGAGTGGTTAATGGGTTAGACTTGAATTCTTCATTCAGTCATCTAATGGCTTCGGCCTCGCAAGGTACATACACCCAAACCACACATCAGAGCCCCATCTAACAGAGTCGCTAAGTTCGAATCTTGTCCGCGACGTTGTATTTAATGCCTGTAGACAGTGGCATCTTTTTTGCGCGGTTGTGGTTGAGGTTGAGGGTGAAATGGTGGAGTTTTGGGGCCACCCAACCGCCCAACTTTTTGCACCACCACGACACTAAGACTTGTAATCTTGTAACAATTACCGCTTACTGCGCTGCACAAACACAAACTATAATAATACTTCAAGGTTCACAACAAATGTCCATCTTCTCAGAAGGTCAATACCTAGGTACCCCATGACTCCTTTTGCACTTTCCAAAAGTACCACCACCTTGTGCTGCTATTTTCCTAGCATACAAACCTTCCTGGCCTGGCTTGCTTACTATCCTACGATTTGCTTTTGCTCATTTACTTTTTGATACCTTGGTGCATCGCGTGGTAAGACGTCGCGATGAGATAGCAAGCCACCGGTATACGAAGAACGGGCTTGTAACGCACCCCTGTCGCTTACTTGGTTCTACTCTAGAGCCTCTTCATGTATGCTTGAACAAGTACTAGCTGTCCATAGAGTTGACTACATCGTTGTCCACACGCGCAACGGCACGAGAAGTGGTCATAATTCCGTGTTGCATTTCCGGGTTTTGCTACATACATACTATTATAACTCAGTGAGTATAAAATGTCTAGGACAATGTACACTTCTAGTAAGAAAATAGTCCTAACAAATCTTTTGAGGATGCGACACAAATTGTTGCCGCCCCTGGTGAGGGCTGCGCCCACTTGCCATCACGGCCTAGGTCCTCGCTTACTCAATGGCGTTCTTGCCCCAGACCCCGCGCAATTGCACACCCAAGTGCGCATCTTACCAGCGACGATACGCCAGGCTGTCACCCTCGGAACGCGACAAAAGTCATGGATCTGACTGACGATGCCGAAAGCATGGTGCAAGATCACACCGATGCTGATGACGACATCGAAATCACACAGAGCGGCGATGGTATCTCACAGCCTACGAACGCGCGCATTCAAGTGTCGAAGACTTTCCGGCAAGTTTGTCTGTAAAGGGATGTGTAGACAGAACTAACTAGAATGGCCTAGTCTGAGAGGACCCATGATCACGCTCGTGATCGGACCAGCGCACGAGGCTGTGTCGATCCAAGTCCATCAAGATATTCTTACAAGAACTTCTGAATTCTTCGCCCGAGCCCTGAAGCCTGAATGGGCGGCCATGCGGGAGAGGCCGGATCATATTGAGCTACCCGCTTACACAGTAAAAGATGTTGAAACCTACGCACACTGGTTGTACTCTGGAAAAGTACCAGCCAGGTGCTTCGATCTCTATCGAACCTTCGAAGATGGCGAGGAAAACAATCCAGTTTGGATCGACCTTGCGACCGCATACGTGTTTGGTGAGCAGATACTAGACCGACATTACCAGCAGACTGTTCTCAACACCATGGCTGGTGTACAAAATGATAGTTATGATGACGAAGATAAGCCACCGGACCAAAGAATCATCAATACGCCAGATTTTCCTTCTGAGGAGGCTATATGTGTTCTTTACCGTGGCACGCCCGAAAGTTCGCCCATCAGAGCGTTAGTGGCGGACATGTGTGCATATGCTACCCTTCAGGACGAGGATCGAAAGCCAGACTTCAATCGCTTGCCTCGCGAAGCATTGGTGGACGTCCTGGATGCAATACCAAAGATAAATCTGAGACAGAAACTTTCGCGCCCATGGGAAGAGTGGACGGAAGGTTATTGGCCTATGCTGACCGAAGTCTGAGAAATGTATGTTCTGCTACCAGTTTGTATTCGTTCGTGCGCTATCGCAAATCTAATTCACTCTAGCCGACCTCGCAGCAATCCGTGGACTCACAACTTCTCTCGCCACCGCAGATATGTTTCAACATGTTACTAGCATACAACATTGGTTTCCGCCATTCACCGATGACAACACCATCAGCGACTAAAGGGTGGCGATTTTCCTGCTGTACACTATTCAGGCAAGAGAAACTATGTAACACCAACCTCCGTCCCTCTCATAGGACAAGGTCGCGTAGAGCCTACGTCAACGTTAGATTGCCTACTTTGTATAGTGTTGCTTCAACGTATCCTGCAGCCCTGTTTAGGTTTTGCCTTCCAATGAGATCTGCATGTGCTCACAGCATATGCGCGTCTCTGGTACGAGGTGTCTTCTCTCTAGTAATAAGAGGGAGCTCATCGTGCGGCACTGGGGCCTTTCAAAGTTCGATTCGTCAATGAAGACTTTCCTCACGATACAAACTAGACTAGCAGGCTTCCTCGTTTGCATATAAGAGATTGTTGCTTTGTTGAACGCATGGTGCATGAATGCGGGCACAATGCAGTTAAGTAACACAGTATATGATTGCGATGCGGGTGTATCTCCCAAGCACCTTGTTTCACAGTATGCAGCAGTATATACTCTTCTAAATGTTCTAGATTTGAAAACAAGCCATGAAGTTCGGTGCGTCCCACTACAAAAGGTTACACCTTAGAGGTTTGACGATGCCTGGAAGATATTCAGCGCACGCTACGATGCGCGATTGTGAATGTCTTTCACTTCAGTTGCATTTCACTCATCACCGCTACCGCAACCACGCTAGACAATGTATCGCAGTGCCCGATGGCTGTCTCTAATAGGTGCGTGCACTTGCGCCGACCGACTGAGTAGCTGTCGTTCTGCCACTCCCCTAGCCTATATAAACCCTCGGTTCCTCCGCTCAACACCTCAACACCGCACTGCTTTACACTGCTCCACTCAACCAGAAGTTCCATCAAACTCCATCAAGAGTCACCTGAGCTCCTTCCCAAGCAAACATCAGCAATCATAAAGATGGGAGGCAAGAATAAGAAGAAGGGCGCCTCCGGCGCCGATGGGGTGGCCAGCTCGAGCAAGAAAAAGAAGGGACGGGGCGGCATGAGCGACAAGCAAGAAGAGAACAAGACCAGAACCTTGGAGGACCTTAACTCTTCCTCAGCTTGGGATCGTGATGATGCCGAAGACGATGTGACACGCGAACCGGATGACGTTGTCGAAACTTCCGAAGAGCCCATCGAATCCCGTCCGACTATAGAACAGGCACAGGATATCACTGAAACTGAGCCAGTAAAGAACGACGACCCGCAGGACGAGGTTCCACAGCAAGAGCCCGATGTCGCGGAGACTGAGATACCTTGGACTACGACGCCATCAACGCGAAAGAACAAGGCAAGCAACGTATCAGACGCTGGAGATGTCTCTAGTGATACCCTTCCGCATAGCCAAGCCCCTACCGAATCATGGTCGTTTGGTGAGAAAGGCGTCACAGATGTTGCGAAGTCTCAAGATGCTGGGAAGCTCCAAGATACCACGAGCTTTCAAGACGATCTAGGCGATAAGCTCCAGCATCTTTCGCTCGAAACACAGACATCACAAGAAGTCATGAAAACAACAGATGGCGAAGAGAAGCAGGATACGATCGTTGCAGCTGATAATGCTGTGCGCCGGCCAAAGGTCGAGGATGAAGCAGCACCTGGAAATTCTAGCGACGAGTCATCAGCTCCTCTCGAAGCTCATCGGGCGCTATCACCACCGCCTCTCGAATCACAGCTTGAAGAAACCCATGAGCCTACCGAGAATCTGGGAAACAAAGCACGAGCGTCGACCGAATTGCCTGCCCAAAAGCCGAAGCCCAACGATCGACTTGCACCATCTACTCAGGAAATGGTAAAGCAGCCTGCGACTGCTCTAACCCTTGCTGTTAAGCCCCAACTGCCGAGCAAGCCTCAGTCCTCTACCGAGGTCCAACAAACTCAAGCACCACCACCGGCACAGTTGCAGCAGCCTCCCAAGGCCAAGCCACCCACTCAAGTTCAACACACCCAACCACCACCGCCGGCACAGCCTCCCAAGGCCAAGGCGCCTATTCAGGCTCAGACACAATCACCGGCACAGTCACAACGGCCTAGCAAGTCTAAGACTTCTGTTCAAGTTCAAGGCACCCAAACAGAACCCTGGACACCTCCGCTGCCCCCAGTCACGCCTAGGAACCCTACCCGAGACCAGGGCACCCAGACAAAGCCATGGACGCCTCCACTGCCTCCAGTCGAGCCCAAAAAACCTACACGAGACCAGGGCACCCAGACAGAGCCATGGGTCGAGCCACAGCCGCCGGCCAAACGCGAAACCATCACCCACAACCAAGGCGCCCAGACACAAGTTTCGTCTTCGTCAGCCCCGAAGCCGAAGTCTCATGGTAGGACGGAGCCTCCTCTTCGAGGGATCCTGAAAAAGTCTACCGCTTCGCCGTCAGCTTCCACTGGGCCGCAGAACCAAGAAATCGAGATCCCCCATGGCCCGCGAGCACCACGACCTTCCAATTCCGCCACGCCATCAGCTTCCACCGGGCCGCAGAATCAAGGAAGCGGCTTTCCCTATGGTCGGCCAGCACCGCCGCCTAACGGTCTCGCACAGTCTAGCGAGAACCGGCGATCGTTGGAAGCAGAGGGGGTCAAACATAACAGGCGTTATTTTGATTATGTGTATGAATCAGAAAGCGGACCACCACTCGGAAGATCCAGTTCACCTCAACGATACCTGACCCAAGCGCGATCTGGTTTAGTTGTAGAGCTGGTTGTAAATCATCAGTATGATAAAGCCGTAGAAGTTCACCAACATACCCTGGAGAGGAACACGGATTGGTTCTCTATACATGGAGACTTCTCCTCAGCTTCTGGAAGACTACGGACCCACTTCGTGGGCGAACAATTCTCCATCCGAGTCATCGAAGAATACGCGATGTGGCTAAATCGTGGAGTGCTTCCTACCATGGCTTGCCTTGGTCGACTCACTCCTTCTACCGCTAACAAGGCATTCATGTTCTTGGCTCGCGCATACCTTTTTGGCGAGTGGATCGACGACAAGCGTTGGTTGAACGATGTCATGGATGCGTTCATCCATGTGCATATCCATGATTGGCGCCTCGAGATAGACGATGTCATCTGGTTCACGCACGATTTTACGGTTTCTCATTCCGATTCACGTCTGTGGAGGCTTTTGGTGGATTTGTTCGCGTACCTTCTCCCTAACCCTGAGCAATTGCTGTCTCAGGGTGGCAATCCACTAATGGAGGGATTGAAGCACCTGCCTAACGGGTTTTGTCACGCTGTACGATGCACGTTGAGGGACAAGAAAAATTGCAAGTCCTCGTGCTGGCGGGCCCGTCTCGACACCCCATCGCATTACTATGCTGGGGAAGGGAGTCAGCCTGGGCATAGATGGAGACAAGCGCCTGATTGTGGGCATGGCGAGATTAGATGGATGAGGTGAAATGCCATGGTCTGGAACTTTTCAGGGTAGGACAAGTACTTTGTAGTGTGTTAGAGCAGCTGTAATGGAAGCATGAAACGGAATACCATCTGCTCGTTCTTTCGGTCCTGGTATGTGATCCCTTGGTCCCGCGAAGTATGTATCGGGACATAGAAATCTTATTGAATGCTGCCGTCGACTGTGCAGTGCATTCGAGACATGCATCGCATCCTTTCTTGGGTGGAGGGGTTGAAAGAGTTCACTCCGCTTCCGCTCTACATTGTCCGGGGAGACCACGAACATCAGTCGCCGTACTTTCCCCCAGATGAACGGGTGAGAGGGGATGTGGAGACCCCACGTTTCTGTCTTGTACTGGAACAGAGTTGATGAGTGATCGAAAGACGTAGTGACGTCGTGCGTGATAACGGAAAGATGACAGGTCGGCGGTTAGAATTACTGTCCCTTCAGTAGCGCGGCCCACTTGTCGGCGACTCTTTCCTTCCGACGCTGATCGGGGTTAGTCCAGCACCTAGCTTCCACTAACCTTCGCTTGAAGCAGGAATTCCCGCCGCGACCTCCACTTTCGCCGGCAGCTTTTCCCTTGAGATGGTCAGCTTTGAAAGGACGTTTACCCAACTGGACAACTGCACAGCGCGGAACGACGCGAGCCTAATTTTGGGGAATCCGGGGTAGCACTGGCACGCTCGCGCGCGTTTTCTGGGGTCTCCGAGCACCCCATACGGTCACCGCGGCCTTTGAAGATGCGGAGAAAGGCGTATGACGCCGGCAGCAGGGGTTTTGAAGGTTTGCGGAGCCAATGCCAGCCTCTCAGAAGCAAATTCGGAGACCAATGTCACGCGATCTAATTTCAAGATTAGCATCAAGACGTTCATCATGCAATTGCTACTGATTCTCACGATCCGTAGCAGAGCAGCTCGGTCAGTCTCGGACGCAAGGGTCCCACAGAAACTTCGAGCGAATCTTCCGATCCAAGCGGCGTAGCCTCAACAGCACAAACCCCACATGCGCACACCGTGCTGGCATCTCAAGTCATCCACGAACCTAACAGACAGAAGGTCGCAAGAGGCAGGTGTGAAGCTGAGCTGACGTGAAGCCGCTTCAGAAAACGCCGGCCGTGGTCGTCCCTAGCATTCCATCCACACTCCTTGGCGTTCGTTCTGGGAAGTCATCGGATGTGCGCTTAACGGCAGTCAGACGCCTGACACTAGCGTTGGCAGATACTGTACATAGTGTGGACCCACCGGACAAGAGTTAACGCGGCATCAAGCGAGATATCGAAAGTGCATAAAGCGGTCGATTGCCTCCTCGCATTCACTACTCCCTCCTCGCCAGGCCATCCACTACACAGGCGATTTCAACAAGACACGACCCATATCACTGCACGTCATCATGGGTGGACAAGATTCGATCAAGAGCGCCCCTTATGAGCAGCGCGAGGCAATGTCTCCGTTCCCTAGCAAACAGGGAACGGTGACTCGGGAGCCTTATGGACCAGCAGGTATGCACATCACTTTGTGGAACCTCAATCACACGTGGGCTAATCCCAGAGCCAGGTTTCCGCGGCCTCTTCTCCAACCCTTACGTTGCCATGTGTGCAGCCTTTGCTACAATTGGAGGTCTTCTCTTTGGATACGATCAGGGTGTTATTTCCGTAACGCTCGTCATGGATCAATTCCTCGACCGGTTTCCGCGTGTCTCGAGTGAAGCCTCAGGAGCTGGTTTCTGGAAGGGCCTGATGACTGCTATGCTGGAACTGGGCGCACTGATCGGTGCCCTTTTTGCCGGCTGGATTGCAGACAAACTCTCCAGGAAGTATTCCATCGTCGTCGCAGTCGTCATCTTCACGATCGGAAGCATTCTACAAACAGCAGCAATGGACTACGCCATGTTGACTGTCGGACGTTTGATCGGAGGATGGGGAATTGGAGCGTATGTTGAGCCATGTTTGTACACGGGATAGATGCTAACCACGCGTAGTCTTGCAACTATCGCCCCACTCTACATCTCTGAGATTGCGCCACCGGAGATTCGCGGTGCTCTTCTCGTCTTGCAGGAGTTCAGCATCGTCCTCGGCATCGTGATCGCCTTTTGGACAACCTATGGTACACGCTTCATGGCCGGCGAATGGTCATGGCGTCTCCCGTTCCTTATCCAGATGATTCCTGGTCTTATTCTGGGTGCTGGCATTGTTTTCCTGCCTTTCTCTCCAAGATGGCTCGCCAGCAAAGGCCGCGACGACGAAGCCCTAGTCGTCCTGGGCAAGCTCCGCAAGCTTCCCACTGACGATCCACGCATCTTCCAAGAATGGTGCGAAATCCGCGCAGAAGTTACCTTCAACCACGAAGTGAGCGTTGAGAGGCACCCTGAGTTACAGGCCAAAACTCGCACGAACGAGTTCAAGCTTGAGGTTCAGTCTTGGCTCGACTGCTTTAGACATGGATGCTGGAAGCGCACTGTCGTCGGAGTTGGCATCATGTTCTTCCAGCAGTTTGTTGGTATGTTCCTCCTTACCGCGACGTGAGAAAATACTAACACGACTCTAGGTATCAATGCGTTGATCTACTATTCGCCCTCTCTTTTCGAAACACTAGGCCAGGACTACGAGATGCAGCTTCTACTTTCCGGCATCATCAACTGCACGCAGCTCGTTGGTGTCGCAACAAGTCTATGGACCATGGATCGCTTCGGGCGCCGGCCACTGCTCCTCACAGGTGCTGCTCTCATGTTTATCTGCCATCTCATCATCGCTGTCTTGGTTGGCAAGTTTGGTGGACGATGGCTGGACTTTGCAGTGGAAGGCTGGGTTGCCGTTGCCTTCCTATTCTTCTACATGTTCAGCTTCGGTGCTACTTGGGGACCCGTCCCGTGGGCTATGCCTTCGGAGATCTTCCCATCTTCCTTGCGAGCAAAGGGCGTTGCACTCTCAACGTGCTCCAACTGGTTCAACAACTTCATCATCGTAAGTCTTCCCTTCGTCTTTACTGTCTGTGACTAGCGACTGACCTGTATACCAGGGGTTGATTACTCCTCCTCTTGTTCAAAACACCGGCTACGGAGCCTACACCTTCTTCGCCGTCTTTTGTGGACTCGCCTTTGTTTTCACATTCTTCGTAGTCCCGGAGACATCTGGCAAGACTTTGGAGGAGATGGACCAGGTTTTCAAGGATGTCAGCAGTGAGGCGGAAGAGCAACAAAAGGCGCGCATCATGCGCGACATCATCGCAGGCAAACAAAACGAGACTGTCACCACAACCGCAGTCCCTTGAAGCAGGACAATTGCTCAGCAAGGGGGCCAGTAGATTTTGTAATTAGCGAGACAATTATTCAGTTTATTCTTATCACGGCTTCGCGCACTACGATTGGAATTTGAATGATACAATCGATCGAAGGACTGGGCTTACGATGCGCAGTCTCATAGTGCACGATGAGCGGGTCGCTCCTGCTCGCCTCCGGTGAAAGACGTTGTGTACATGCGACGTACGTGCAACGCAAACTTCTTGGCTAGCTACCCCGTATCATGGTGATCGTTTGGTTGCGTATCGTATTGTGACGATGACCACGCAACGTCGCGATGGATGTAAAGATGCGATTCGATTGCGCCCGGTTTGCCTACTTGAGAATACGAATTTCCGTCCCACGAGATCTGGTAATGGATATCTAGAAGTTGTGATCAGCGTTACATATTAGGGGAAATGTAGTGCAAATCAAAGACATGATTTAGCATGTGCATCTCATGCTAGTTGCGAAAGAGATGTTTGTCAGGAGCAATCTTGTATTTGACGCCTGAAGCCATATGTTGCCTAGGTACGCCAAAGCTGAGCTGCTTTCAAAAGCATCGCGTAAAGAACACCTGGAATGTAAAAGCGCACGTCACCAGATTGACAGGTGTACGCGTGCATTGCTGTTCAAACATCTCGCCGAGTTGTGCGTCGAGCTCCATACTCCCTGTGACGTAAGAAGATTGCCTTCAAAAGGAGCTCCGCGGGAGAGAGCGCATCACCGCTCTGCCCCAGAAAACAAGTACGGCATTGCCATCTTCTACTTTCCAACCGTCAACGCCCCGTTTTTCCGTCATCGTGCTCGTGCCATCATTTCACTCCCAGATCCTCAATGGCCGATTATCTCCACGTTCTGCGCCAAAATGCGAGGTTTCCCATCGCCAAACTTTTGCAACTGGGCCGTCAGGGTTTCCCAACTTTCGCCCCGCGCCACCCTTCCCAGTACAGCATCATGACCCGACTGGCTCCAAGGCCGCGATAGTTCTGTAGAACTGCGTGTTGGTTGTCCCAGCACCGATTCCAATGCAAGGTGTGCATAACACACGGCCTCGTTCGCATCGCCTGGTATGCCTATATCGTCGAATGGCTTTGTGATCACGCTCTCGGGGAGCTCCGCTTCGAGGTAGTCTATGATGTTCGCGTTGCGCGCACTCGGGCCACTGATGAAGAGTTCGTCGACGTTCTGGCCGACAGGAAAGCGGAGCGCAAGGAGTCTGCGATACTGCTTCAAGATGTTCTCGGCTGTTATACGGGTAACGGTAGCGATTATGTCTGCTTCAGAGAGTTTCATGAAGATGCACTCATCAACGACTCGTTGGGCTTCATGTTCGCCAAACATATCCCGGGCTATGCTTAAAGAAGGCAAGACGCGAGAGTAATCGTGCGTCTGGAGGAACCGTGTGACGATAGCTTGATTAGGCTTCCCCGGTGCTGCATATTCCCCGTCGTTGTCATTGTTACGATCGTTTGAAGTGCAGTACTTCATGGCGTAGTCAATGAACACGCTTCCAGGCCCGCAGTCGCGACAATTTGTCCCTCGAGCATCTCCCTTCGACCGAGGAGGAATGAAGCTACAATTTGCAAGCTCGCCGATATTCAGACAAGCTCGAAACTTGGAAGAATGCCTTAAGAAGAGATGATCAATGTAGGCGACAGGGGAAACTTGGGGCCTCAAAGAGCCAGCTTCAATGACAGCGAAGTCAAAGACAGTGTTGACGCCGATCTCAGAGTTTATATTGGCGTTCCATCCCAGCGGCTGCGTGCTCAGGTCGTTCGTTTCAGGCATGTCAGGTCGCCTCAAGCCCGATGTGTGTGTGCCGACCAGGTTTATGGATGCGAGTGGTATGCAATGCTTCTCACAGAAAGTGGTAATGCCATTGGAGAACAAGTAACCGAGCAGCGCGTTGAGGCGTATCGCTAGTGAGGAGTTGCGCTCAACTTCGCGGAGGGAAGTGAGGATATGGTTTCGAACGGGAGGTGAGGTAGGTAGCGAACCGCACTATCGGTCGTCAGCATTTGCAGAGCGGCAGTATGAACAGCACTGACTTGGATGAGTTCTAGATACAGCGTGGCACTAGGGGAGGCTTGCAGATACCGGACCAGCGCGAAGTCAAGCTGGTTTAACCCACTTCCGCAACAGACCCCTAGAATGCGGAGGTCCAATGCACTCTTCATGGTCTCTCTCGTATGAACTTGTAGGCTTCCATGGTCTGTTGCTGAGTCGTTGCGACGCATACTAAGCTTGACTGTTGTTCAGTCAAGAAGTACACATGAGTGCTTCACATCCGGAGGCGAAGATTATAAAATGGTAGAGGCCCGGAGGTACCTAGGCAAGGGGGGACTTGTCCAGTGGCGTCCGACCGAGGCGTCACCCGAGGCATCTCGGGTTATCGCCCCATAAGGGGCTTCGCAGAGAGGAATGCATGCTAAAGGTACGCTGTGGGATGGATGGGTATCCGCGTTGCGCTATGCAAATCTCAACGGACCCGATGAGGACTTGATGTACCAAGACTCCCGTGACCGGGCTCTGGCACCTCGTTACGACTTACGCGAAGGGATTGGCCCGGGACAGATATCCGGCCGTGAAATGACGTAGCTGCTCAACGGTCATCCCTTCAACATATCAAGTCAGCAACCAGGCACATGCTAATCAACTTCGCACGGGAGAATGCGCTTTGTGTTCTTTACTGCCGGTCTGCTACATACCTAGGGATTGATGAAATGCAGGTATAACGCGTTGCACAAGGCCATATGCATCACAGCAATATCTAGGTGATACTCACGTAGCGCTCCCAGACGTGCAATAAGCGACCGCAGCTGCCAGATATCGGTGCTTTGTTGCGAGGCTTTCGGATGCAAAAAGAGCTTCTCGTCTTGGCTTCAGCCAGCTGCGTTACGGTCAAATCGGTGGTGGCATGTTGGGACGAAATGCGAGCATCTGGTGAATTTCCAAAATCGACAAGACGCGTACTATGGCAAACAGTACGATTTATGATACTACAAGGGGTGGTCTAGCAAGTTTTCAACACAGGTATCGTGATCAAGCGCGTAATCACGGTAACTCAGGCAGCAGCGTACGAAACGGGTAGTTTAGTGATCTGAATGTGCTGCGCCACACACGACTTTCAGCTTGCTTCACTAACAGATTCCACATCCTTCTGGCCACCGGCCACGGGTACATGCGTACAGCTCAGGCAATCTTCGGTGAACCGAGCCGAACATTGCAGCCCTGGATGTAAGATTATCTGAAAAAGATTCATTCAGGCGAATGATTGCACGTGAAAACAGAGATCAGCACACGAAAAAGCACTATCTCCAAGAGAGGCATTGTTACTGTATAGTAAGATGTAGCGGTAACATTATATGTATTTCACTCGGAGTTGTTACCCGAGCTCCCAATCCTCGGAAGGTATATCTTCCCGGATTGCACAAGTTCGGTTGACTGCTGGAAGATCCCCGGCTGCGAGAACGTCCATGTTCTCGCATGAGAATGAGAGTTCTGCGTCGAGTGCTAGAGCTACATAGAGGGGACCAAGTGACGGGATACATGCAGCTGACCATGGCGCCCAGAGCTGGTATGAATTGTACCCGGATCATTCGCGGGCATGACTTAGACACGAAGGTTCTGGCTTCCAGACACTGAGCGCTTTGTTTTGCACAATAAATGTCTTGTATGGGTTTCATCATCTTTCACATCCACCTTCTTCTTGTGGTCCTATTCCACAACCGACCCAAGCTGATTTTGGGTAGGCCGAGGGAAGTCATTGGCAATTGGCTCCATAGGCCAAGAGTCAATGCCGGCTCGAGTTTCTACCTCATGAGCTATGCCACAGGAGCTGAGGGTGTTGGGATACCCCATTCGGCCTTCAATGCGTTACTGATCCACGTCGTCGGCCACACATGGTTTTTCTCGAAGTCGTTTAAAAGCTGCACTACCTGATCTCTCTCTTTTGGGTCGCATACAAGAGGCCCCCAGATAAAGATGGTGTGACAGACGGTGATTGCTAGTGGGACAGTCTCCGGTGAGCTATTACTAGCCCCGGAAATGGCGCGAGCATGCGTCAAAATCTGATTCTACTTCAATAAGCAAATGTTCGTGCTGTTTGGTAACTTTGGTCCTTACATCTGTTTCAGACAGGCTGCCGACGTTGCGGATTGCGAACTTGGGGCCTGGCTTGTATCGAAGCAGCATGATACAGGCAAAATGATAGAACCCGAACGATACAGCTGATGGTATTGTGAGCATTTGCGTGGAAGGACATGTTGGATAACTTACCGTGCCAGTCGGCTGTGAAGAGAATCTCAGGAAAGCAGCCCCCATCGCCGGCTGGGCCTTCGAAAATTGCATTAAAACCTTCCGGTCTACCATGCCTCCATGTCTGGACAAGATCCCACAGCTCGTTCCATCGCCGCATCTTGTAAGCCTTTTCGTTTTGTGGCTCCTTGCCCTCGAAGCAGAAGTTGACGACACATGCAAGATTCCAAGTCATTTGATTGGCCCAGGCCGTGTCTAGCCTTAGTCGAGCCAGCGGGTGCGCATCTCGTAGTGAGCTTGGGGTTGGGTGTAGCTGCAAAGAGAAATCGATATCAGGGGGTTGCTGATTGATAGTGGCATTGTAGAGGCACTGGCGGACATAGACCCAAAAAGCAGCTTCGCGCAACGTGGGCGCTGAGGGATCTACATAGTGATTTCCCTGGGAAGATCGAATAATGGCCGAACAGCCTGCAAGGTGCTGTTCATCATCAGAACCGGTACTGGACGGGACTAGAAGGACCTGTTAGGCATGAGAGGCATAATGCATACTATAGTACGCACCATTTAGCTGCTCGTAGAATCGCAGTATGACGATCGCACACAAAAGCGTCTCGTCGTGGCTAGCAGCTTGCTCATTCAATCGTTCGATGAGCAGGGCGATGCAACGCTGATAGGCCGCCTCAGCTGTCGCATCTTTTCTGCAGTGGCGAGCAGCAAATGACATGACGGCATGGCAAAGTACCGGGCATTGTTTGACCTTCTCCGGTACTCCCAGCGTAAATTGACGAGTGGCGTCGGTGCAGTCAAGCCAGCGGCCAAGATGTTCGGTGTAGTGGTGCACGAGCAAGGCCTCTTCATGCGTCAAAGGAACAGGCCGGGGTGAGTAGTTTCTAGTTCCATCTGGCATGTCTCTACGGCCATGCGAATGCGCATTCGGCTGCTGCATGGTCTGGCGGGTATGCATCGGCAGCGAGCCCTCTGGCATGCCGTCCGGGTCGTGCGACTGCAGCAAACTCGCCACCGACACGCCACCCGTTGTACTCTTAGATCGGGGAACAAAGTAAGGCGAGCCTGGCGATAGCTGAGCCGAAGGTGATGAGACGCTGGTCGATGGGCCTTCCGATGTCCCATCGGTCCGACTGTTTTTCCGCCTTCTCGGTGAAGTGTTCCGGCTCAAGCCTTCCTCGCTGAAACTGTTTGCACGAACGGCTCCTTCTGTTCGACTGATGTTATCGACCCCATCGACACCGTCAACATCCATCATGTCCTCTTTGGTCTCGGTTTCCTCGTCAGTACCGCCGGCAGCAGATCGACTGGAAGAGGGCCCGTCAGGCCGGTAGTCCTTGAACTTAGTATGAGGCTCCTCCCACTGACAGGGACGGTTTTTCTTGCCGCATGCTTTGCATACTGGACGGGTCTCGTCACCTGGGAGAACTATCAGTACGGCAAGGAGTGCCTGGAAGCAGGACACTGACATTTGACGCGGCGCGCTCGACATGTAAGGCTTGTGCAGATCAGCGGACTTTGTCGCCGCAACCTCATGGATCCACTTACCAGCCGCTCCTAGAGCGGAATTTACTGTATGAAGTCAGTAATACGTTTCATGTGTAGGCTGGGAACCGGAGTTACCCCATGTATAGGAAATCCAAATCCCAGGTTCGAATCGAAGTGTACCTGTCGCCGTATTAGCTAGTGGGGATGTGCCCTTCGCCTCGAGCCCGATCCCTCGACGATGGCGCTCGTCATGAATCGACAAAATGGCTAATATCGGAAGTGCGTACCACAACTACGTAATTGTGTCGTTTCAGGGACCCTTCGGACGACTTCTGGAGTTTGCGCGTAGCCTTTACCGAAGCAGTGACATCTGTAGGATCCTCTCGGCAATCTTGGACAGAAATCAAGAGCGCTCAAGCAGGGCACGTGGAAGCGAGGCAGGTGTGGGCTAGATATGCTACGGAGTCGCAGGCTGTTCAACTCTCCGACGTAGTCTTGATAACATTAGTCATTTGCCAGAGTATATGCTTTACCCTCTGACGCGCTGAAAAGGGGAGTTGAGCGTATAACTCACCCGTCGAAAACGTTCGATGGCCGGTCTGTCGGTCGATGCTGGGTGGATCGGGGTGCAACGTCACGCTGTTGCTCATAGACTAGACTGTGTATTGAAGATACGGCATTCGTGCAAAGCCCATGACTGCCTCGATGAAGGCCAATCTTCGATACTGGACCTCACC